CTGATCCGCGCATCGAAACTTTTAATTTGTTCCGAGGTCCAAACTGATTTTTCACTTTTAAACGACTTAATCTGTTTCCGTACGACCAAAGCAATGTGGATGTTTATGAATAGAGATATACCAAACACAATCCGACCTGCCCAATTAATAACAAAGTCGTAGTAGATTGGATCGTAAACCTTACTCAGAGTGCAACGTTTGTCAGCTGGTAATTTAGGATCATATTTGTTCAGTCCCATTGCCGGTATCGATGCTCTAAAGAAAATATAAAACCATATGAAGAAGACAACTTTATACGCTCTTTCAGCAGTCACCCATTTTTTGTATTTCAACGGAAACATGATGGCGAGGTATCGATCTACGGAGATGATCAGCAGAGAGTAGAGAGACCCGCCAATGGAAAAACTCGACGAGGCCATTTTCAGTAAACACAGTTGCTTCCGGGATGTCATGTATTCATTGACATCGGGTAGCCTTGATAGAAGTATCAAAGGCGTGGCTATCAGCCCGACCAGGAAGTCAAACACGGCCAAGCTGAGCAGGAAAATGTTGTTGCTGTTGTAGAAGCCAGGGTAGAGGACGATCCCCCAGAAGATGAGGATGTTGGAGACGATGGTTATCGGGCAGAAAATGGCGAACAAAACAACTGAAACTTTAGTAATTGCTTCAACCAACTCGTCGGGTGGTGGTTTACTTGGATGTGTTCTGTTTGGGGCTTGTGTGACATTTGTGATAGTGTGCTGTATATCTTCTACTAATCCGTACCAGTCTTTAAAGAAGATTTCTTCATAATCCATTTGGCTTAACGCAAACTACACTTTGTACAATAACGTTGAATTTGGCTCAGGACTTTGGCTCAATATAGTGACTTGTTTAATTCTGTGGTTTTTTTTGGGTCAAAACTAGCTCACTTTAGTGTCTTGTGTATCCATTATGTTTTGTCAGTTCCCTGTAATTAAGTATTTCTTTTTAAAAAGTCATTGAAACATCGATTCAAGATTTTGATAGAATCATTTAGTTTTCGTTGTTCGACGACTATCTTGTCTTTTATTGTGTGCAAATTTTCCTGTTAATAAACATTCAAACAATATATTAAAGTTACGTACACTTATCCCTTAAAAATACTACTACTATTACTACTACTACTACTACTACTATTACTACTATTACTACTACTACTACTACTACTACTACTACTACTACTACTACTACTACTACTACTACTACTACTAATTATTATTATGATTAATAATAATAATAATAATAAAATATCAATATTAATATTAACAACAACAACAACAACAATAATAATAATAATAATAATAATAATAATAATAATAATAATAATAATAATAATAATAATAATTATAATAAATAATAATAATAAATAAAGACATGCTACCTCACATTTTGTAACCCCCCCCCCCCCCCTTTCTATTTTACCCATTTGTAAGTTACACAATATTTTCCATTGGGTAACGTTCTTAATATATTGACACCCCTCCAAATTTCACCAACGATCCAGTGGTTCACACATTTCCTCAAAACTTTACTTAAATCGAAACCTACAGAGTGACAAGGACATAAAAATCGCAGCAGCCATTTTGATTTATTTTGATTTCCGAAAATTCTTTAATATGAACATTGCCATTTGGTTAGAGATTAATTTTTTTTTTAAATGATGAAAAATTAAAAACTATACACTTTACAGTGTAACACGCAATGCAACAAACCTTTTCATTAGTTTCCAATACAAAAAAATGTGTTGTATTTTACGGTAAAAAAAAGTAAAAGTTCCCTTTACAAACCTGACGTTCTATAGTGAAGTAGAGTTCATTTGTTTCTGTGACCTCGGCATAAGAAGAGATAGTCTACTGACTTGAAACCGGATTCGAAATCGAGACTTACGGGTTAGCAGTCCAGCTCTCTACCGCTAGACCACTCCGTCCCATAGGTTAAGGTAAATTAAAGACGTCAACGTTTACCTCTTCAGTCTCTACATACCACAATTGAGAATAAAGTCATCGAATCGAACAAGCTAAATATTCTTGGGTTAGTTACGAATCAAAGTCGTAAGGGGGGGGGGGGGGGTGGGGAGGACGACAACGACTTGAAACTTTCAGAAGAAGGTGAATTTAAATTTCCGGGGGGGGGGGGGGGGAGGAAAAGGGCGGACGCTGGTTGAAGTATATATTTTGTATATATTTTTGCACCGCCTTTCACCCACCCTACCACCCCGAAAAGATGCCTGAAAAAAACAACAAATGTTTTTCCTTGTCTTATCATGTTCACCTTCTAAAAGGGTACATTTTAATTGGATTGGATTTTAAAATTGTGTTAATTTATTAGGGTAGGTTACTATCCTATTACAAATTAACCCAGCCAACAGTAGATTATACACTAATAAGTCTTGATGACACTTCATACCCAGAGCTTCTTTAGGCATCTTTTTCCAAAAACATTACCCACCCCCCTCCCCTCAGAACGAAATAGAAAAATTAAATAATGTTTATAGAAAATACACATTTGTGTCCGATCCCCGTAAGTTTCAAGTGCCCCCCCCCCCCTACCCGGAGAAAGTGATATTATCCAAGGGATAACGGGTGGTCGACTTCATATTTAAAATAGCAATTGGTCGGTTAGAAGAGGTCGAAATTTCGCTCGCCATTTTCGATCCATAAGATAAACAGACATGACGAGGTAACAAGTTAAATGAGAGCTTGTAAAAATGCGTAAAAATTTATTAAACAAGCTTTTATGTAATAATGCTATTAAAAGGAGAAAATAAATTATTTTCTTTAAATATATATTAATACACTGCTATACTACACTACAATAAAGAAAAGCGTGATTTGCTGTATTATGAATTGAAAATTTTTACTCGAATTTCAAAAGCTTCCCAAGCTGTGAATAGCAAGTTTTAACATTGATTTGTTCAAGATAATTTTTCCATTTAACGTTTTCAACTTCGTTTGAGCCTGTGTTTGTTTTTACCGCTGGTATGTAAAGTCATCGTTGTTGTTTCTAGTTACCCACAGCCAAACATTATTTCCTCTCCCAAGCAAAGGCGTAGCTAAGGGGGGGCGGGGAGGGCGGCCGCCCCGGGCGCCGATCCTAGATGGGCGCCAAAAGGGGTAGAAAAAATATTTAAAAGCTATTTTATGCTGCAGTTTTAAATTATTAACAGTCAAAGTTAAGAAATTTAACGGCTAACTGTAAAACATATACCCTTAAGAAACAGTGAACGGAAAAAAAAACCGCTTTCCAGCTTCCTGGGGGGAAGGGCGCTTTTTCGAAGACTAAAAAAAGAAAAAATTACATTGGATTAGTGAGTTGATAAACTCTACCACTTATAAAAGAAACCAATTGTACTAAAGTGTATTGTACGATTTAGTGACATTAAACTACTACTAACTTTGTCAAGATGGTGGGGGGGGGGGGGGTTTCGCCAAATTAAAATCTCAAGGATTTACACTGGATTGGTGAGTAGATAACTCTTTTAACACTAAGAAAATAAACCAATTTTACTAGCGCTTAATACACAGTTTCACTAGCCAGTTTTGTTAAGAAATGGCGCGACTATAGTATTTGTACGATTCTTGCGATTCTCTCAACTTCAACGTGAGAGATCAGATACTTTTACTTAATTTGGATTACATCTTACCTGGATCACTGCATTAAAGAGAGATAAATATCACGGATTCTTGTATCGCTATCCCATCATTAAAATATAAGACTGTCGGGGCGGGTGGGTGGAAGGCGACACTCTTTGCAAAAAATTTTAAGAGAGAAGAAAATAAGTATATTGTACCGAATAGATCTTGTTTCTTGTTTTTATTGCTTTTTTTATCACAATTTGTTACTTTGTTCCACCTAGCATAATTTAAAACTGTAATACACGATTATCTAAATTGTTCTAACAACACGACCAAAAAGTAGACCTGCACTTTCTGCAAAGTACACTTTAAAGCAGTGGTTCTTAACTTTTTGGAGGTACCAAACCCCAACAGTTTCATATGCGCATTCACAGAACCCTTCTTAATAGTTGTATCGTCCACCCTAAAAAAATCCGATCGTGAATCATATGAGTCGGCTGTGTGTTTTGACCTACGCCGAACCCCTGACACTGACTTACCGAACCTCTTGGGTTCGATGGAACTCACTTTTCTAAACTCTTTGACTTTCTTCTTTTTATTCGTTTCGGCTTCCTAAGGAACATAGGCGGAGGAAACACTTCGTATGACCTTAATCTAACAAACTTATAATCCAACTATGTACTATGACATAACCGAGACTGTTTCAAAGATAGAACATAAAAAGACTGTCCTAAACGAATTGGCACCTGCTGAAAACTGCACTCTAAACTCATATGAGGTTTATTTTTTTCTGACATTAATAATAATTTTTTAAAGGACAATGCATCTTAAGGGAAATTTAATTGGTTTCGAGTAAAGTTTTAGGGAACGACAATCATACATCGTAATTATTAAACCTTTTCCGACTTTTCAGGACTGTCGAACTATCTCACACACACACATATAAATAAATAAATAAATAAATAAATAAATAAATAAATAAATAAATAAATAAATATATATATATATATATATATATATATATATATATATATATATATATATATATATATATATATATATATATATATATATATATATATATATATGCGTATATATTATATATATATATATATATATATATATATATATATATATATATATATATATATATATATATATATATATATATATATATATATATATATATATGGGGGTGGGCGCCAAACTGAAAGTTTGCCCCGGGCGCCGGTTGGGGTCGCTACGCCTCTGCTCCCAAGTTCAACAATTTACACACCCGTTTATAAATACGTGTACTTTTTAGCGCAATTTCTATTCTGGAGAATTGCGTTTATTAACCCGTCATTTCTGGATGGATGGATGGATGGATGAATGTATGGATGTGTGTCCGCAGGTTTAAGTCGTATCTCCTCCTCAACGAAGCAATATCGATGACTAGTTACAAAAACAATTATGTTAAGCAAGTTACGAGGATGAACATAGGCTATAAAAATTCCGGGTTTCTTTCATGGATTTCCCGGAAAAGCAAAAAAACCTCGAAAAAATGCAGTTTTTGGCCCATATCTCGGCAACCAGACCACTTAGCGACCTGAAACATGTACCAATCGATTCCTGCCATAATTTAGAACAATATTGCCGAAGAAAGTTTTCAAAAATATCCTTTCGTTTGGTCACAAAAAAATTGTTTAATTAATTAAAATTTGGACCGAATTAGTAGGCATTTTATTCAACCACACCACACGCGTCATCACGTTCAATAGCTGCGCCATCACGTTCAATGGCTATGACATCACGTTCGGTAGCTAGGCGCGCAATGGTTTTTAGTCATGTTACTCTATTGTAAATAAAACATGTAAAATACTGAAAAAAAATTAATAAACAACGTTTTAATAACTAACCAATGGTTTTACTAACCCTGCTCTTGATTTACGCTACGACAGAGCTATTTTTAGATAACATAAGGAAATTGCGCTAAAATTGTCACTAGACTTTTTTTAATTACTTGTTTACTTTCTCGTATATACGAAGTATAGAGAAAGTATTGTAATCGTGCAAAAAAAAAAAATCGAGATTTTTACAAATCTCGACGTTTTACACCTCACTGATACGGAAAAACATAATTTTGCAATCTTGTCCGTATGTCTGTGTGTCTGTGTGTGTGTCTGTGTGTGTGTGTGTGTAAACACGATAACTTGAGTACCGTTACATCTAGGTTGATGAAATTTCATATATAAGTATTTTATCAAAATCGTAGATCCGTATCAACTTTTGAGCGATTTCCGATAACCGGAAGTGGTACTTTTTCTACTTTGAATTTTTCAAAAGCCTATAACTTGAGTACTATTTCAGATAGATAAATGAAACTTGATATGTAAGTAAAAGATCTAATTCTCTACCTTCTGTCAATTTTTGAGTAATTTCCGTTGACCGGAAGTACTTATTTACGCTATTTCCGATTTCTCAAAAAACGCATGTAAATTTATAAAGTACTAATAATATTGCGCACTATTATGCACATCTTTATTTAGCGTTCTCTATGTGTGCATTTCTTTTTTCTACGAGATTATATTCTATTTTAAAAAATTTGAGTATTTAAAATGGATTAAAAATCATGTCTAGAAGTCTATATCCCGAGTTGCCATCCCCCGTAGTGTTATATTAGAATATTCGAGAAAGTTTAGGGGAGATCACTCCCGGTTTATTTTAACTATGGAAATATTAGGAAAGTAGAGAAAAACGTATTTACTAACATATAAAGGGAAAATAAAATGTAATGAAATAACTTGCTCAAGACAAGAACGATTATTTAACTTATTAAAGTGAATATATTTGAGAAAACAAAAAAAAAAGTTAAGCAGCATGTTTATTTAAATATTAATTAAAAATAAATAAATACATATTCAAATAATTGTACAAAATCAAAAGAATTGAAATGTAACTAATTTCCTCAATAGAAGTGAATTTTAAATGCGTATGATATTATCAGTATAGTACACACAATGGAGGGAGTAAGACTCTTATCTTAAAATGTAAAGTTAAATAAGGGAACATAAAATCGCCTAATCTTACAAAACTAAAAATATGAGTGTACACGAGAATAATTTATTCAACAAACTTCAACAAGGACATTAGAACACAGAAACTAACAGTGGACGAGATATCATTAGAACAAAATGGGAACACGATTTGGAAAACGAAAAGTATGACAAAAACACTGTATATTTTAAAGATTTAGAGTATGTTATAGCGAAGTATATAATTTTTAAACAATCTTTTAACAGTATCATATATTTATTCCTACACCGGTTTCTTGTTAATGCACTGTATATAGATGGAATTTATTTACAAAATATTGCTAAAAATATATTCCAGCTTTTGCAAGATACATGGCCAATTAAAATACTAACATATGACCTTCCAAAGTCTCCATTCAAACACCAGCGTTTAGGACTGAACAATTTGTCTCTACTATCTCAAAATAGATTGGCAGAATTTCATATGGAACTACTTGAAATGTTACCTGTAAATGAGATTCAGAATAGCATTCACATCAAATATCCAATTAGCATGTGACAGTATTAAATGGAGTTACAATAGTTTTTTTATAGCTAGAGGGAATGATCCATCGTACTGATGTAACTTCTTTATTGATATTTTACTGAACACAATCAGAAATGAAATAGCAGAGTGCTTAGATAAAGGTGGATTGATCTTCATGAAGTTGATAGGATGATTTTCTTAGACGCACAAAAGCCAAAGAAGGATTGTGCTATTAACAAATGGAGAGTAGAGATGCTTTTTCCACTTTATTCATGAAGCTAAGGATGCTGATCACACTATCCCTGCCTAAAATATTAGCCACACAAATTATTGAATATAAACTTTGAATTGATAGCCATTTTCATCTGTTTTGTTTTACAAAAGTCGACAAGCTTGACTTGAAAGGAACTTACATTTTAATAAATAAAAAAACAACCAAGGTTTGAGATTGTATAACGTGATAGATTGTGTTAAAATTTGAAACAAAATATTATGTATATAAAATACATCTGAATAGTACTAGAAACATAAAAAGGAACATAAACACTTAAAAAAGTAAAATTAGTATAATTGGTAAGTCATAATGGCAAAATGAAGTAGTTGTTCGGTGTGTTTTTTTTTGTGGCGGTAATGTTTACACAACTCATTGTGAATTTTTATCTTAACTTTTTATGTTAACTTAAAGATAATTTTAAAAAAAATTAAACTAAATAGAGAACGTTAAAGCAATGCCTATAGTTGTTAAACAAATATTTTCAACATATCGAAAGCCATATTCAGACACACCGGCTATTTAACGCAACGTATTCAAGTGCGTATTTGCTTACGAATAGTGTGCCTTCTAAAGTAGTCGAAAACCAATAACTTTCTGCACTAAATCTCTGGAGCTCTTTGACATTGCAGTTCTAATTAGGGTCTAACTTCTCAAGCACTGTGGAAACTTCTGAATTCTTCGAACCCCTGTCTGACAATGCAGTTCTAATTAGGGTCTAACGTCTCAAGCACCGTGGAAACTTCCGTATTCTTGGAACCACTGTCTGACCAAGCCTTTGATTGTTGTCCCAGCGATTTCCGCCCCGGCTCGACCACGGACTCCGAGTGAACGTTTGAAACTTGAGAATCCTTCTTGACTGAAACAGAATCCTGAACCGGATCGACGGATGAGTCCCAGGGTGCCGCTGATACCACAGACTCCTCAAATTCTTCCTGAATTATATCCAAGACCTTCTCCTCTGGACCAGACTCGACAGATTTAGCTGTGCTCATATCGCTTTTATACGACGACGCGAAGCTTGTGTTTCTCTGTCGATGCAGCCGACGTAACTCTGTTCGCCATTTCCACGGGCAGGTAACTAGCATTGTCTTGTAAACGTCGCGGTATTCATTCCGGATCGCAGCGTAGATCGGGGCATTGACCACCGAGTTCGCTGTTAAGCAAAGCCCCATTAAAGTACGAAATATTTTATCCACTCTTGGACTAAACATATCGTAGCTTTTCATTGGTACATACACATACACGGGGGCCCACAGAAATAAAAACAAGGCCGTGAGAATCAATGTGATTTTCACTGAACTGATCCGTGCATCGAAACTTTTAATTTGTTCCGAGGTCCAGACTGATCGTTCGCTTTTAAACGACTTAATCTGTTTCCGGACGATCAAAGCAATGTGGATGTTTATAAATATAGAAATACCAAATAGAATTCGACCTGCCCAAGTAATAACATAATCGTAATAGATGGAGTTGTAAACCTCTTTTAGCGAACAACGTGTCCGTACCGGTTTCTTATGGTCATATTTGTTCAGTCCCATTGATGGTATGGCTGCTCTAAAGAAGATATAAAACCATATGAAGAAGACAACTTTATACGCTCTCTCAGCAGTGACCCACTTTTTGTATTTCAACGGAAACATGATGGCGAGGTATCGATCTATAGAGATGATCAGCAGAGAGTAGAGAGACCCGCCGACGGAAAAACTCATCGAAGCCAGTTTCAGTAAACACAGTTGTTTCGTGGACGTCATGTATTCATTGACGTCACTTAATTTAGACAGGAGCGTCATGGGCGTGGCGATCAGCCCGACCAGGAAGTCAAACACGGCCAAGCTGAGCAGGAAAATGTTGTTGCTGTTGTAGAAGCCAGGGTAGAGGACGATCCCCCAGAAGATGAGGATGTTGGAGACGATGATGATCGGGCAGAAAATGGCGTACATGACCGTAGAAAAGGTACTGAACGCTTCCGCCACGCTATCCGGGGGTGGCGGTGTCGGTCGACCTGGTCTTGGTCTATTTGTGGGGTGGATGCCATGTGTGGCGTTTGTGGCGTTTGTGATTTTGTGCTGTATATCTTCTGCTACCTCAAGCCAGTCACTGAAAAATATTTCGTCGTAATCCATTTGGCGTTTTGGAAAATAACTTTCGTACAACGTTGAACTTGGCTTCAAAGAATTCCTAAGTTTTTTGTCGAGGCTAGTTAACTGTAGTGACGTTTAATTTTGACGTTTTTTGTTGACGCTAGTTCACTATAGGGACTCATTTAATTTTGACGATTTTATCCGAGTCAGGTCACTGAAATTAATTATTTAAAAAAAATATTTAAACATTAGTTTAATATTTTGCTCGAATTATTTAGTTTACCTTGTTTGATAACGATCTAGTAGTTATCCATCTCATTGATCCCTTGTTTTAGTTTATCCTAACTTAACCCTTGTTACATAATACAATTTAAAAAAATATCCCTGCTGTTTCCAAACACGATTTATTATACGATTAGGTAAAATACCGCACGTCACATCACCCTCATTAGGCCTATATAAAATATGAAAAGTGGTTAATTTTTAGATTCGTTAAAGTGCCAAAGTCAAAGATAAACTAGCGTTTGTTTATTTAAATTTTTACATAAACCAGTAGCTTATAACTAGACATTTTGCAAAAAATCGTGCAGCCATTAAATGTAGGATATTTTTTTTGCATCTTACATAGATCTATAACTTATCGTTATGCTTCAAAATTTTGTATAACCATAGATTTAGTCAAATATTTCTGAAAACATAAATCTAAATTTCAACCTCTAAGCGTCTGAAAAATCTTTAAAGTAAATTCTTGAACCTTTTAAATTCATAGTATTTAAAAACTTTTTAATTTACAATTTAGATCTAGATTCTAGATCTATCAAAATCAAATGTAAAACATACACATTGACTAGATTCTAGGTTTTTATTTAATCAATGTCAACGACAATCAATTATTAATGGTTGCTTGCTCTACTTATTGATCCTATCAAGTTTAGAAGTAACTTCATGTGTTCTAAAGCAGAAAAAAACACTTCTTTAAGTTCTCTAAATAGTGTATGATCCTTACTAGATCTACCACACTATGCGTTTCACCTTACAGTGTTAAGAAAATAACATCGATGTTGCCATTTTCTTTATTTTGATCTTCGAAAATTGCCATTTGGTTAGAGATTTTGTTTAATAGCGTACAACAAAAAAGTTAAAAAGTCTAACTCGCAAAGGAACAAACAATTTCACTAGTGTCAAATACAAATGCTTTTAGAAACGCTTCACATACAACCTGGGTACTTAAATAATAAAAAACAACATTTTGTCGTATAACTAATAGATCGCTTATCAAGGTATAGAATTTCCTTAAAACTGAAGACACTACTATGGAAAGAAATATAATATTCACAAATGCAAATGGTTCCAAAAGTTTGATGACAGCAAGCGCATTTTTCAACCGAAATTGAATATTTTATAACATTTGAGAAATAAGTACAAAATGACTACTGGTTTTATTAAGGCTATAAATATTCAAACAAATAATTACTAGTAATATAATAGTAATTTAACTAAAACTTTTATTTTTAATTTGGATTAGTAAAGTCAGTGTTTTGTGGTGGTAAGGGATGTTTTATTATTTAATGTAAATAAACTACTAGGCTATACCCAATTGACCGCTATTGTGTGTTTTATCACAGAAAACAATTATTGTTATTTTTAATTGTTTTATTTTCCCTGGCCAGTCCGGTTGACCTCAAGAAGGGGTTGAGAGCAGTTTTTTAAATATTTGAATTGATAAGATAATTCTAAACGGCTTTTTCAATGGCTTATATTCAATACAAAAATATGTAAATCGGTTTAACCGATAGTTCCCAAACGGCTTTAATTTTTAAAAATATAACTAAAATTTTATCACTTGCCGTAATTTTTTAAAAAGAAATTTTAAAACATTTAGTATGATTAACAAGACTTTTCAAACCTCTTACTGTGCCCTTTTTTTAAACATCATCATTTCCGGTTCGTACCCAAGACACATGGGGCAGATGAGGTAACGTTCATCTGCTTCAAAGACCTTGGCATATGAAGGTATAGTAGGCCGCGCCATACCCTCCCATTTTGTTTTAACAATTAAAATTAAACCACCAGTGTTTTTAATTTTTCTTAAAATAGTTTTTTCCTTAGGGGATCATAATTGCCCACTTTCCCCTTCCTATTCTAGATCAACACTAACCTGAATGACAGAATTGACTGACAGCAGTTAGAAATACCTTCAGCAGTTGATACATATATATCGTTCTCTCATAAAACACATATTTCTATCAAATTTTTGTTGATTTTTAAAAGTGACGTTGTTGACGTAAAAGTTTGCCCTTACTAAGTATTGGAAAAGAAACATTTATCACAACACGAAATCACAATAATTTGCTTATCAAAATACTATAAATTGGTAAATAAGTTTAGTACCGTTATTGAAAACAAGTTTCTTTTTAAGACTGAAATTTTTGAGTCCCTGATCAGTGGCGTAGCGAGGTCGGGTGTCACCCGGTGCGGCACTTAATGGTGTCACCCCTCAGAGGCGTAGCGACCCTTCCCGGGGACAACTTTCAAACTTTCGATTTGCAACCCCCCCCCTTCAAGTTTTTCTCTATATATTTTGCTATTTTTTGCCTTGGTGTCACCCCCTAAATGGTGTCACCCGGTGAGGTCCGCACCCCCCCGCCTCCCCCACTCGCTACGCCTCTGTCCCTGATTTAAACTTTACTATCAAAGCAACCTGTTCCATGAGCACTTTGCTATATGTGTTTTATCGACAAAAAACAAAAAACGTGGGCTTGTCACAAAATCTCCTACCATTTCAATGTATGGCTAAAGAGAGAGTAAAAAGTAGCCCAGTCCCAATGTTCGGATGATGAAAAATGCGGCTACATTATTTAATCGTAGTTATTTTCCGAACAAATATTTGAGCATATCCTAAGAGGGTGGTACTTTAAATGGATATATGTATAGTAAAAAAGTAAAGTTTCCTTTTCGAACCTGATGGCCATGGGTTAATTGAAATCGAGTTTACCTGTTTTTGGGACCTCGGTATATGAAGGGATAGTGTGGTCAACACTTTGCCCATATATATGTATCTTAGGTGCATAAATTGAAGTCGTATTCAAAGCCCAGAATTTTTTATATCATTTTTTAAACAAAATCAACTACCCGTGTGGGTTATCGAACCTGGTAACGCCATTAACTAAAATAATCAAATGTAATTTATTGAATAAATAAAAAAAAAAACAATACATCTCTACGAAATAAAATTTAATTATTTTAATAAAAACAAACTCGATGATTATTGACATGAATTTCTAGTTTCAAGATTAAAATCAAACAGGAAATAATGGATACATCTACCTTCCCTAAGAGTTAATCTTTGATCAAGTAACATACATTTCAAAAGGATGTATGTTTTGGATACTTCACGAATGAACCAAACAACCGATATTTTAAACCGATGTATACCTTAGGCACAAAAGTTAATCTTTGATCAAACCTAAAAATAAATTATAAATAAATTTTTACACATCGAACGAAAGTGCACACATACATGCATAAGCTCTCGCACGCACGCACACACACACACACACACAAGCATACACACATTTCATCGAAATGAAACACAATGATTCACACAATATACAGAACGATATACATACCCACCCACATCCCACTTACAAGCACACAAAAAACTAATACTGCTTTTCAAATCAATCAAGGGTTAAAACTTTAACTCTTTAAATTTCCGATCGATGCCATTAACTACAAGAACTGCAGAGTGTGGTGTAGTTCCAGTATTTGATCACACACCCTCTGAATTTCGAATTTCTCTCACCTACAGAGACATCCTAGCGAGGGTCTAACTTTTCAAGTACTGTTGAAACAGACCTAACTTCCTCTACCCCACTTCTCTCCTGGCCACTAAAGGACTTGGCCTTTGAATGTTGATCCCTCACTTACAGAGACATTCTAGCGAGGGTCTAACTTTTCAAGTACTGTTGAAACAGACCTAACTTCCTCTACCCCACTTCTCTCCGAGCCACTAAAGGACTTGGCCTTTGAATGTTGATCTAGGGATCTGGCCGGGTCCAAAGAAGATCCTAGAGGTAACGTCTCCGGCTTGTTAAAGATAGAATCCCGTCCTGTATCGACATTTGAATCTTTGGAATCCTGACGTCCGTCAGATACTACAGTCTCCTGCTTAGATACGACAGATACCTTATCATCATGAATTTCTTCTTCGAACTTCTCCTCTGGACCAGACTCCACAGATTTAGCTGTGCTCATTTCACTTTTATACGACGAGAGGTGACTGGTGTTTCTTACACGGTGCAAGCCCCGTAATTCTTTTCGCCAATGCCAAGGCCACGCTGTTAGCATTGTCTTGTAAACATCGCGGTATTCACTCCGGATTGCAGCGTATATCGGGGCATTGACCATCGAGTTCGCCGTTAAGCAAAGGCTCATGAAGGTTCGCATAATAGCTGTTGCTCGTGGGCCTAACATATTGTTGTTCCTAAGAGTAGTATAAACATATAGAGGAAACCAAAGTACTAGAAACAAGGCCGTGAGAATCAATGTGATTTTCACTGAACTGATCCGCGCATCGAAATTTTTAATTTGTTCCGAGGTCCAGACGGATCTTTCGCTTTGGAATGATCTGATCTGTTTACGGACGATCAAAGCAATGTGGATGTTTATGAAGAGAGAAATAGTAAACACAATCCGACCAGGCCAATTGATAACAAAACTATAATAGTATGGATCATAAACATATGTTAAGGAGCAACGTTTTTCTATCGGTAGTTTAGAATTATATACGTTCCATCCCATTGCCGGAATGGCTGCTCTAAAGAAGATAAAGAACCATATGAAGAAGACAATTTTATACGCTCTTTCAGCAGTGACCCATTTTTTGTATTTCAAAGGACATATTATGGCGAGGTATCGATCTATGGAGATGATCAGCAGAGAGTAGAGGGACCCGCCGATGGAAAACATGGACGATGAAACCCTCATCAAACATAATTGTTTACGGCAGCTGACGTATTCGTTTATTTCTGGTATTTTTGTAACAAGAATAAAAGGCGTGGCGATCAGCCCCACCAAGAAGTCAAACATGGCTAAGCTGAGCAGGAAAATGTTGTTGCTGTTGTAGAAGCCAGGGTAGAGGACGATCCCCCAGAAGATGAGGATGTTGGACACGATGGTCACGGGGGTGATGAAACCGTAGATGTAAACTGAAACGTAATCGAACATTTGCACAACGCTATCCGGCGGCGATCGGCCTGGGGCACCCGGCGTTCGATGTGTTGCATTGGTGCTATTGGTCTGTATATACTCTGCCGCTTTAGCAAAGTCCTCACTGAAGTATATGTCATAATCCATCGTACCGTTGTTTAGATTATTACTGTAAACAGCATCGCAAGTTTTAGAGTTTGTGCCTGGAAAGGATTTCTGGTTACTTCATGGTAAGACGCGTTTGCCTGTTTAAAAAGTAAAAAAAAAATACAATTCGAGAGAGTTTTAATGTATTTATTGTTACAAAAATAGCAGTCACAATAGAATTATCGCCACATAGGCAATATAATAGATTTTTTTCCGAACCAGTTGTTGTAAAGCGTATAATTAATTTTTTTTAAAATCCATAGTTTTATTCGATGTTTCTCAAATATTTGAGATTTCTAAAAGATAAAACGTGCCTTTTTATTTATCACTGAGACTTAATTCAGACTTTGAAAAGCCGAACTACGGTCATGGATGAACTAAAATTAAATACTCGCCCATATAACCATGGACACTGAACTTACAAAAGTGATTTTTTTAAAATTAATTGATGTAATATCTCTAACACATTTCTAATTTTATAAATGAAATAAACAGAACTTTGTAATCTCACCGGCCAATACGGCTTAAATTAATTCGATCAAGGCTCACAATCAAAGTATAGATTAATGATTAGGTATGTTTAGAACTGAACGATTAAAAAACGAACACATTAGTTCTACGGAAGTATCGGTTCAACATATTGATTGGAATAACTAGCATTGCCAATGTATGTAACTACAAACCAAACAAAAATTGAAAAACAAACGTATCGCTAGCCTTATGTTTCTTTGTTAGTGGTGGGTTATACTTATAACGTAGATCTATATATGTTTATTCAAGTTAATGTTAAGCTATGCTTAAAGGATTAAACTTGTGAGCGAGTGTTCAACATTGTTATTTATAGATCTATCAAGAATCTAGATCTAGAGGATCTAGATCTAGTAGCGGCAACTTTAGCCAAACCTAGATTTATATTCAAATTATTCAACAATATTACTAATTACACACGTTTTAAAAATGAAACCTTTATTACTTAATCAGTCAGGAAAGTATCCCTTAAATCTGAGATCTAATTATCTCAGAATTTACAGATTACAAGTTATCATGGAACAGTTGAGCAATGTTTACTTTCATTTTCCGGTAAAACCTGCGGCATACTTTTTATTTCAAAGACACAATGTCACTGGTTTGAGATTAAAATGTTTAGCACAGTTCATACATTTATTTGGTGCGTGATTCTTCCTAGCTGTGCACATTTTACTTCCTCGTATACAGTTACAGAGTAAAAGAGGAAGTATTGTATTGAGCGTGCACGAAAATTAAATGAATTTTTGACAGTTTTTGCAAACACAAGCATAAACACAAACCTTATATATATATATATATATATATATATATATATATATATATATATATATATATATATATATATATATATATATATATATATATATACTAGCTGCATCCCGTGCTCCGCCACGGTAAATCTTTTTTAAATGTACCAACAGAACAAAACTAAACACAACACAAACGAACGCAAAAAAAAAAAAAAAAAAAAAAAAAAAAACGAAAAAAAAAACACAACACTCATAACATAAACACAATTTGATTGCAATCATAAAGGTATATTGCTCACAGTCTAGCCCGTAGCGCCAAATCGCGCCCTTTCCGGTGATTTGCACCCCCCTCAAACTTTCGATTTGCACCCCTTCCCCCCCCCCCCGCCCTAAAACTTTCGATTTCTACCACTCCCCTCCCCCCTCGCAAATTTTTTCCAACCCACTTTGGCGCCCCCTAAGGTCGGCACCCGGGGACATATGCCCCCCCCCCCCCCCTCGCTACGCCTCTCCTATAAAACCCGAAAGATACAATAATAATTAGAAAACAGTATAAATAATAGGCAGTATCCATAATATATACAATATTTCACTTTATCCATTCACGCATTTTTTTTTTCCAGTACTTTAAATTTTAAAAATTTACAATAGAGTTTCATAACTAAAACCATTGCGCACCTAATGAACGTGATGACGCGCCTATAATAGTGCTGAATAGTTGATTAAAAATTATAAGTAATAAATAGTAGGGCCTACATTCAGTGAATAAAATAAATAAAAGATTGCCTTTTATCAATCCATGCTAATTAAAATTTTCTAACAATAATTTCCTCTTACACATCCGAATAATTTGCATTCACATTTTGCTAATTATATTATTGCAACACTAATTCCTTCTATGACGAACGTATATTTGCATTCACATTTTTTATTAGCGTGAGTTTAATGTATTTTTAAATTACCTCCTTTGTCAAAATAAGAAAAGAGTTAAGTTAATTTGATTTTTCTACCCTGCTGTTATTATGTTATTAAAATGTATCCACTTTTTCTTGGAGCCTAAACGAAAATGATATTTGACATTAATCTTTTTAATACGTTTTAGCAGTTTGCGTGTATTTAATATTTTCTTGACGTTATGCGAAAGAGTAAAAACCGTGGCAATTATAAAATAGCTCTATGCCGCTATATAAACAAACCCTACTCTAATACTTATAATAAGACACTGCGGTGCACTGAAAAGCACAGCATGGTGCGAATGTTTACTTTTATGGTTCCAAAAGCTATAGCGATGACGGAAGGAAGGAAGGAAGGACTGACACACTACCAGCAGCGTTATATTATAGATATATATATATATATATATATATATATATATATATATATATATATATATATATATATATATATATATATATATATATATATATGTATTGCATGGGCCTCGACAATTCTCTCGCTAAAAAGGAAACGATGATGATAATCTTGATAAATGTATAATTCGTTGAGAAATTTTTTTAAAAACTTTTGAAATATTGAAATTTCCTTAAAATAATTTTACTCAAAACAAAAATTTTCAAAAATAAAATGCAAACTTATATAATAGCATTATACTTGATCATAATCAGGATTATTTGATACAGTTACATGAACTTAAATAAATCTGATGCTGAACACTTTCACTTCCCTCTGTACGAGTCAACTGTAGCTTGTTCTCAAGTAGAGGGGACTGTTTAGATACAGGTATCATTTAGTCTTTCAATCATTCCATCTTATGTCAGAGTATTAATAGATAATAGTTCAAACACATTTTGATTGGGTGATCTATTTGAGGCTAGTTTATTACGAACCCGTGTTTGTAGTTGTTTTTTCTTAATCAGCTGATAGATATTCCATGGGATGGTGTGGTGTGAGAGCTAGACTGCTAACCCGAAAGTCTCGAGATCGAATCCGGGTTCAACTCAGTAGAATATCCATGAGTCCATCAATCTCTGATAGGTAATTAACGTTCTATGATGTGTACACAACTTACTTTAGGCACACAAAAACAACAAGGCGGACGGGCATGGTATTGACACTATTCCTTTAAAAGGCGAGTTCTCTGAAGCAGTTGAACTTAATTCATCTGCCCCATGTGCTTTGGAGCACGAATGGGAAAATATAATAATGATGATGATAGATATACTAGGAACGGACGAGAGCACACAAACACACACTCACACACGCATGCACATACACAAAAACACACATGTAAATATATGTATGTATATATATATATATATATATATATATATATATATATATATATATATATATAATGCCATGAAACGATAAGGTAATATAAACATAGAAGTCATAAGCCATCGAAGTTGTATTTCATATTTTATTGATCAGATGGACGAGAATTGAAAACAGCGCACTTTTCCCCCTTTTATACAGATGGTATTTATCCATAACTTTTGATGTTCAACATTGTTTTTTCCGATCAATGGACATGTAATCTTGATTTCTATGCCAATGCAGAGAGATTTATTAATTAGGTAATGGATAGTAAATATGATGGTGGGAAACAGATGTTCTCTTATTTGTGCGTATATATCTATCGTATCTATCTATATATATCTATATCTATATCTATATATATATATATGATTAAGTTATTTTAATATTATCTAGTATACATTTCCCAAAATTATTTTGGACAAAAGTCACTCCATCAAAATACTCAGTGAACTTCACCATTTCATTAATCCAGTATCTAAAGTTCCCCGGAGATTTTAATTATGTATCCTGACAGAGAGAGGGGGCTAATTGGGTTTCTTTCATTCTTAACACCCAAGGGTTTCAATGGGGATGGGGTAATCGGGTATGTGGTTTTAAAAAAAAAAATCCATTTAATGTATGGATCATGATACATGGCATATGGAATTTTATTTACTAGAAAAAAAAAAGGTTTTAAAGATTTTTCATTATGAAATCGTTATTTTCGGGAATGATTCAATTTTTTTATTGTTTCGTTAAAAAATATAATTCGACATCTTTTTGAAAAACACGATGTGTGTATAAAACGTATGTCTATTTTCATTACGAAATGATTATTCAGGGGTAGTAGTTAAAATATATCTACGTTAAATTTAAAAGTATTTTCAATCAATTGATCAGAGATAAGTTTCGTCCCCACTAACATAAACCACCATCTTCCTAGTTGTTGAAACTCTTCTCGTTGTGCGTCAGATGTCGATCTCTGTTACTGAAGTTCGTAAAGGTCGGGAATCAAATGAAACTCGAACTCCCCATGCCTGTCTGCCAAGGCGCTTTTCAAGTTGTCCCCAAACTCTTTCAACACCGTCCTCAGTTCCTGGGACATTTCTTCATCAGAGAAACGGATGGACACGTCTTTCAGAGTGGAGACATTTGTTAGCTGCTGTAAGGAGTTGACGATTTCTGCCTGGAGACAGAGAAGGAGAAAGTAAATTTGACGATTTCTGCCCGAAGATATAGAAGGAGAAGATAGAGTTGACGATTTCTGCCTGGAGATATAAAAGTAACATACATACACAATTTTGTATTATATATATATATATATATATATATATATATATATATATATATATATATATATATATATATATATATATATATATATATATATATATATGTATATATATATGTATGTATATATATATATGTATATATATATATATATATATATATATATATATATATATATATATATATATATATGTATATGTACACATATATGTATATATATGTATATATATATATTTATATATATATAAATATATATATATGTATATATATATATATATATATATATATATATATATATATATATATATATATATATATATATATATATATATATAAATACATACATATATATAATAGAAAACTATGCTCTTTTAATTACTAGACTAATAACAAAATACCTACATTTAAGTTGTTGGATATTTTCAGTTTTATCCTTTTGAGTCGTTGGCATGTTACAACGGGAAGCATAAAATCGTAATTGGTGGGTCCGTCCACATAAAGTTCAAGATCCAAGTCCAGATCTTCCAACAGATCTTGAAAGTTGGCGGCGATAAACTCTAGAATTATCTATAAAACAACAGAAAAAAAAAGGAAATTGCATTGTCATTTAAAATGTAATAACATCTTTTTTAAAATATTTAAATAAATTACAATAACTAAGTTGCTTAAAAATATCTTTTTTTTTATAAAAAAATAATAATCCAAAAACATCAATTAATTAAAAAAATAAATACACAATTACACAAAAAATACATATAGGCTTCGTACGTGTCATCATCTAATTATATATACATCTATAAACACAAACACACAAATAAATCAATAAATAAATAAATAAATAAATATATATATATATATATATATATATATATATATATATATATATATATATATATATATATATATATATATATATATATATTTATTTATATATATGCACATATATATAGAGAGAGAGACATACACTTCTGTATAAATAAGACTATACATTTATATTTATTAAAACATATGTGCAAGAGACATGTTTATTTAATATATTTTTTTGAGGTTGAGTTTAGTCTTGTGTTATTCTTTCATATTGTGGTAATGCAGTGTAACAGTCGTCAGCCTTTCTCGTTCTGTTAACCTTACCCCTCCCCTCCCTATCCCACCTCAGTAGATGTTGAAAGAGCATTCTGTTAGGGCACCTACGTGAAGCTCCCTGGCTGTGTAGAACTCTGGCGTCATGGTCAAGCTGACCAATGGGATGCTCTTGGTCAGGACGAGCAGCGTGCAGTCCACGCTATCACAGCCCGACAAAGTCAGACACACGCCTAGCTCGGGACACGATTTTTTCAGTGACCTCCACCGCACGTCGCTTATCGTTTCTGGGATCGCTGTACAGAAATAGAATTAGATATATTCACATAAAACAGCGAATTAATACTGTTTTTTTTAAAGTTAACGCTACTTTATTGAATATTTTAAAAAAAAATCCCGTTCGCTCTAAATGAAGTCGACATCACTTACAGTTACAACCAGTGGCGTAGCCAGGAAGTGGTCATGGGAGGGGTTCAAACATTTTTCCTTATGTATAAAATTATATATATATATATATATATATATATATATATATATATATATATATATATATATATATATATATATATAGGGGTAGTGGTCCATGGGAGGGGTTATACCCCCCCTTCCCCCCTACCTGCCCTATCCTCCCACCCCCTTGCCTACGCCACTGGTTACAACCATGAATTTTGCTTTAAAACCGTATCATTGGCTTGCAATATCCAAAAGGCAATTATCTACCCCTTCAGTCAGTGGTGGGCTCTCATATGCGAAACCAACCATCCGTGACCAACAATGCCCCGCCTAGGTTAATACTTAATCTTGTATCACCTTTTGTTATTGGATTTAGTAATATTTGATTTTAAGTTTTATAGTTGATTTTATGTCTACTTAGATTAAGAATTATATATTTTGCCTTGTCATCAGCGATAAAAGTTTAAACGAAATCGCAATATTAGAAGTAGGTCAAAATTAAGTTATTAAGTTACAAAATTTGCCACAAACAAACTGTCAAACATACAATGTTAACTAAATAAAAGATTTCCCACAACTCCACAGTATAAAAAAAATCAGTCAAAAATACATTGTGAACTAAATACAAGATTTGCCACAAACAAACAACCAAACATAAGTTGTGAATTAAATACAAGCGTTCAAGAATGTCGAAGCAACATACCGTCGTTGTCACTGTCCCAGAGGCAGGTAACTTTCAAACGCTTGAGCCGACGAAAAGCTAACGCCATCTGTTTCATGAGTTCGTCACTCAGGTACCAGTAGTTTAGTGCCAACGTCTCAACGTGCGAGAATGTCTAAGTGTGTAAGTAAGAGTTTTGAGTGTTATAAAACTTTACAGTGTAAATTTGGAGTTTTGAGAGCGTTATGAAACTTGACAGTGTAATGAAGAGTTTTGAGGGTGTTATATTTAAGTTGAAAGTGATGTTTAGAATCAAGCGTGTTGATTTTCTTATAAGTATACCTACATTTATTAGAACTCGAGATTTTCGATATAGCAAAAGTGCGCCCTCTTCCCCCCCCCCCCCCCCCCCCCCCACTTCCCCTCCTTCTCAGATTACGCTATCCTACCTACATTTTATTAAATCAGGTAAGTAAAAAAAAAGGAAATCTCTCGATTTTTAATGAAGTTTATTATTGGTTTAATTATTATAAGGGTTATGAAAAGGGTAAGATTGTATGAATTTTTTTTCTCGAAAGTAAAACAAAGCTACATGTATGAATATTTTTTTCTCGAAAATAAAACAAAGCTACATGTATGAATATTTTTTTCTCGAAAATAAAACAAAGCTACATCTTACCGTTAACGCTGTTTTAAACGCCGCGCAGTTTGCGACGGAAACATGTTCACTGAAGAAAGCTTCCAGGTCTAGTGAGGACAAGTTTGAGGCTGAAGGTTGTCCTAAGGCCTGCAATAACCTGATGCCGTTCTGCTCTTCAAATTTGGCTGACTTCATGGAGAATTGCTTTAGACCAGACACGTTCAAACATTCAATTTTTATTTCTACACAAGGTAGGGGGAAAATGTTACTTGTCGATACGTTAAAGCTTACGAAAAATGTAGTTTATAAAGTATAAATAATTTTATTTTCTTAAAATCTAACTTTTTGATTTTAGCTAGACGAATTTTAGTTCAGTGTCTTATTTTCATTATTTCTATTATAATTCATCATTAATTTTTATTTGTTTTTCTTCGTTCTTAATTTTAGTGTTGGAAGGGATCCCCTCCAACACAATTAAGGATACGTGTCAACTGGTTATGCGTCATTCAGGCCATTGACTCCGATTGCAGCCAGATTTTCTTTTTGGATTTGCTTCCATAGCCTTTGTTCAACCAAGATCAAACTACAAGGCAGCAGTTGTTTGATTTTGAAGTTGTCTCTCCTAGAAGAGTTGCTGTCCCCAGCTAACGAGCGTCATCTTTTATTTGTTATTTATATAGTTATTTATATTCTCAGTAGAAGAAACAGCCTTTCAATAACTTTAAACATGCAGCTTACGATTTTTAAAAATTTGCAAACACAACAACGAACAATCACTTTGTTTCCAAATAGTCACAATTTAAACCAGTGGCGTAGGCAAAGGGGGGTTATAACCCCTCCCATGGACCCCTATATATATATATATATATATATATATATATATATATATATATATATATATATATATATATATATATATATATATATATATATATATATATATGAGATTGTATACATATGGAAAAATGTTTTAACCCTTCCCATGACCAATTCCTGGCTACGCCACTGATTTAAACACCCTTAAAAACAGCAAGCCAAAAAAAAATTGTACATAGCCTTGCCTCCAAGCTCCTCTGCGAATCCACAAAGTTGACCAGGCTCGTGACGAGGCTGGCCGCGAGTCTCGGGTACCTCCAGCACTCGTGGTTGTCCGCCTCCAGGTTGTCCAGCACCAGCACGCGCAGACCGGACTCTGGCAGCAGCAGGAACATGGCGTGCAGGGTGTCGGTGATGAGCAGGCTGTTGCTGTAGGACAGGACCTGACAGCTGATCCTCAGCTCTCGCAGGTGGGGGCCGAACAGTTTCAAAAATCGTATACATTTGAATGCTGTCACAGCAGGGAGAGAAAAACGGATGCTTAATATCAATATATATATATATATATATATATATATATATATATATATATATATATATATATATATATATATATATATATATATCTGCACAACACAAAGTTCCATTATGCCCACCCCACCCAGGTTCGAAAAAAGAAATTCGTTTTCACTTATTCCACTCTAATATCCGACACATACAAATTTGTTTGTTTTTTTGTCTCACAAACCTTTATATTTTTTTTTAAAAGCTGCCCAATCAATGTAATGGGGACCCTTTAAAAAAAAGTAACGTTCCATAAAAAGTATGCGTTCAATAGTTCGGTGTTATTTTGAAGATCTCAACCTTGGAAGTTAAATGCTTAGAAGCATCAATTAATATTTATATACTTCCACTGTTCGTAAGAAAACTATCTCCCTAACCATTGCCGTAACACATGCCAATACTGTATCTCTAACCACTGTTTTAACCTTAACCACGATTACAGCCCTAATCTTTAACCTAAGACCATTAACCTAAACCCAACATATATTACCTTTGACTAAATGATTATCCATACTTGCTTTCAGTTTTTCTATATCTCTAAATCTTTTCGTCATGCGTACGTACATTAGAATATAGATGATTCGAACGTATCCCCTATTGATGATGTGCAATGAAATAACGAAACCACTCTGTATCTCACCTGTGTGCTTAGCGTTTAATCCACCAATCGTAAGCGCAACAGAACGCCACAACGATGCATTTTTAAACGCGAAGTTCCATCGCTTGCATACCTGGAAAATAGTTTTGACAGGTGTGACATACAAACACCATCATCATTGTATCCCGTTTGTGCAAAAGAAACGTTAGGCAGATGATGTAGAGGGCATCTGTTTATATGATCTCGACATACAAAGGATAATGTGGTCAGTCGAATTATTTTCCTTAACGTAAGTTATGTGCTGATGATAGCTGGGTGGACTCAGGGACGGTCTACTGAGTTGAACCCGAGATTTTCGGGTTAGCAGGCTAGCACTCTACCTCTAGGCAACACCATACTTGACTGTTTAAGCTACTTTTAAAGATGTAGGTATTATTTCGTTGGTTTACATTACTTTTGTCGTGGTACCATACGAGTTTATTATGGATGGGGAATTAGGAATATTACAATAAAAGATTACACAAGGCGAACATATTATGTACTCAACTTATAGGTAGGCTAAAACAAAAATACATATTTTACAAGACTAATATAGACGATAAGACTAATATAGGAGCTAATAAACTAATATAGACTGTACACGATGAATATATACTATACAAGACAAATATATATTGTATAAGATTAGACTCTCATAGACTAGTATACACTCTTTCAGAACTAACTTTCTGTGATGTAGATGAAGTAGAATTTATATGTTTATTGATCTCCATGTATGAAGTGGAGGTCAACACCATAGCCAGCCGCCTTTACTTTCCCTAACTAGAGTCGGGTACCCCTCAGAGCTAGATGGACTCAGGGACGTCAGAAAATCTCCAGTCCGGCTAGGATCCGAACTTGAGACCTTCTAAGTAGCAGTCAAGTGCTCCAAAACAAAACTAATATGTCCAAACACGCTCTATAAAACTAATATAATCGATACACAGCTAGTATTGACTACACAAGATAAACGATTAGAATATTTGTGTACACAACTAATGCTGACAATACAAGATTAATTACTGATATAAATTGTACAAGACTAATAAAAAGGAACAATGTATACTAAAATTATGTAAACTGTAAAATTAAATACTGAGATCGTTCGTAGAAGCAAATAAACAATAATTTTGAATCTTTTAGAATTTCAGGCTATATTCCGTTCGATGCGTTATAGATCTAACGGTGAACATAGTCGTGGTTTGACCGAAAAGTGGTAAAAATCACGATATTGCGTCGGTTATTATTCCGGAATGGTACAGCAGTAAAAAAGAGTAAAAAAATGTCATTTAGCGTTAACCTTTCCTAAATCAAAACAAACGAAAAATCGTTATAAAAATTGAACTAGAATTGTATGTCTTATTATGAACAAGAACAAAATAGGGTAAAATCACGATATAGCTTCGGTTATTATTACGAAATGGTACAGCAGTAAAAAAAAACAGTAAAAATATGGCGGTCTGTCGCGCCGTTCGGGAAACCACAGAAGTACAGTAAACCATATTTTATTTGACGCCATATTTTTAAAAAAAAAATTGTTTAAAAATTTGCATAGATTAATTTTATTGCATTTTAAATACTGGTTTGCTAATTATTTTGTATTTCTTATAATTTTAAGTGTATGTGCTAATTATTGCTGCTACTAAACATTGTACGAGTCCCTCTTACTACTTAAGTTAGTAGATCTAATCAATTTATTTTACTAGGTCTAGATCTAGTTGTCCCAAATCTTCTATAAGTCATTTCTTGGTTTCTTAAAATAAAACACGAATTACTATACTCGACTTTATCATTAATATTTAGATCTAGATCTACTAATTGTTGTTAATTTTCTCTCGATTAAACTTAAAATTAAGTTAAAACATTAATCTAATACACTCGGCTTTCTTTAAATTTCAACGGTCAAATATTATATGGGTTTACAGTAACGAATGTTTACGAAACTCAACCAACATTACCGGATAATTTCCGACGCTGTATCGCGAGATTACCCGAAAAGTATAGATCTAGTAGCAGTAATCACCGTCGACGCAGCGCATCTAGATTTAGAATCCAAGTGCTTGAAGATGTGCAGCAACACCACGTATGGGATTTCATCCCACGCACCCTGGTCGGGAGTCTGTGAACTCGGTGGACATTCCTGTACACGTCGTCTTTTTACTGACAATTCACATGTCTGGGGGAAACATTTGCGCTTGTTCATCTTGGCTTTAGTTATAGCATTGTGTTTTTGTTTTACATGTCCTGCAAAGCTGTAAATAAAAATCTAGTAGTGTTTCATTTCCGGAAGAGAGTATAAACTTCGTGATTTGTGTTATTTGTTTACCGGAAATATCCGATTAAATTCATTAGTGCGTAAAAGAGGATTGTGCCGAAAAAACTAAGTAAATAAATAGAGTACTTGAAAGAAGAAAAATATCAATGTAGTGACCGACTTGAAGCGAATCCTTCCATTATTATTGTTGACATGGATACTTTTTTTTAGATTTCGCAATCACAGCCACCGTAAAAAAAAAAAAAAAAAAAAAAAAAAAAAAAAAAAACATAAACCTAAATTAATTCGGAAATATAATATTTTTAGAATCAATGTTGTAGGATTTGCAAATCCATAGAACTTTAAAATAATGTTTTGAGTTAAAGGCAACGTTTCTATTTATTTTCATCAAGCCTAGATAAAAACATGAAGCTTTACTTTAGAAAGACAAACATTGATTGGCTCTACAGGAACTCCGAGACCGAAGCTCTGAAAACCGGGAGTGATCTCCCCTAAACTTTCTCGAATACTCTTATATAACACGATGGGGGATGGCAGCTCGGTATATAGACAATATTTTTAAATCCATTTTTAATTACTTAAACTTTTAAAAATAGAATTTGATAGAAAGCAGAGGATTAGATCTTTTAGTTACATTTAAAATTTCATTTATCTCCCAGAAACAGTACTCAAGTTACAGGCTTTTGAAAAACTAGAATACTTCCGGCTATCGGAAATCGCTGAAAAGTTTAACAGAACTACAAATTTAATAACAAGCTTTTATGTAATAATGCACTAAAAAGTAGAAAATAAATTATAGACTACTATTTAAATATCAATAAAGAAAAGCGTGGGTGTCTTCCTTGACATTAGTAAAGGTGTCCAATAGATACTAAAGTGACCCACGCTTTTCTTTATAGTTATTTAAATAGTAGTCTATAATTTATTTTCTACTTTTTAGTGCATTATTACATAAAAGCTTGTTATTAAAACGTTTTTTATGAATTTTTTAAAAGTATCAAAAGCAAAAAAAAAGTAATAATAAACATACGTATTATAAAAAAAATTTTCAACCCTTTCTTTTTTTTCAAAAGAAACCAACACGGTGTTTATTGGTTTAAAAAAAAATTAACAAGAAGATATAACAACTACATTTTTCACGTCTTCTGATTCCAGTCTCTCATAAAAACGGAAGACGCCAGATCCAGCGGATGTTTTACTGACTTCATCCTCTTTTTTTCAACACCTGACGCGGGTCTAAACTCTCCAAGCCTACAGATGCTTTCTTCTGACCTCCAATCGACACCTCATCCGCAGCTTGCAGACGTGGTTTCGGATCCACCCCGGAAATAGAATCACGTGCGACGGTGGTGCTTTCGCTTTCAACAGCAACGGCGGTGGGTTGTTGCGGTTGTTCTTGTGTGGGAACGTCGTCAACGAATGTCAATTCTTTTTCTTTCGCTGAATTTTTATCTTCGCTTTTGGATGAAACTGCGTAGCTGGTGTTCCTCACTTGATGTAGCTTGCGTAGTTCTTTCTTCCACCGACACAGAGCCGACTGTCAGCATCCGCTTGCAAACATCACGATACTCATTTCTGATGGCAGCGTAGACAGAAGCATTGACCATCAAGTTGGACACTGCACATGCTAGAAATAGTTCGAAGGATTTTCTCTTTGTCGTTTTGTCAGAACCTGGTATGACCTCAGCGGCAAGACGATGTAGAATGGATTCAATAGAACGATGAGCAGAACCGTCAGAGCTAAGGTCAGAGGCGTAGCGACCCTTCCCGGCGCCCGGGGACAAACTTTTCGATCTGCACCCCCCCCCCTCAAGATTTTGATTTGTACTCCCCCCCCCCCCTCAAGATTTCGATTTGCACCCCCCTAAACCTTTAATTTTTTTTTCCAACCCATTTTGGCGCCCCCTAGGTCGGCGCCCGGGGACATATGACCCCCCCCCCTCGCTACGCTACTGGCTAAGGTTAATCTAATATATAAAGCTCAGTTCTGTATGTAATGCATATGTTTGTCGTTGAAATTGTATGAATTTAAGTGTTAGAAAATTATCGTGCGCATTTGTCTAAATTTATGAGCTAAAAAATTACTATTGAAAGTGTTGGGAAATAATTTTCATTTTTCAAATTATAGTAATAATTGTCGGCATGTTCATTAAACACAAGTTTTAAAAAAAATATTATCTTTTACAAAAATTCTAATTATGTCTTTATTTAGTCCTATAGCACTTACTTCCCTTTGATAAATTAGGAAAACAAAATTACTTCCCTTTATAAAACCATTGCATTAGTCGAAAATAATTTACTTTTTAATTACTTTGTTTTGGTGTTGGGAAAAAAAAATAATTACATAATTAGCGGGGATTGATCAAGTGCAAACGTTGTAGGTATTTTACGGATAAGCTTGGAGTATTAAAATTGTTCATTAAACTGAAACAGGCGCGTTCGTTTAAGTGAGTGCAAAAGACTATGAATAAGTTGGGGTACTATAGTCGTTCATTAAGCTAAAACAGGTGATTCCGCCCCGGGCGTTTATGTTCGCGTTAGTGTTTTCTTTGTGTTTAGGTGGGTTTGCGTTAGTGGTGCGTTTTGATTTGGTTCGTTTTTGTTCTTTCTTTTTTCGTTTTTGTTTGTGTTTTTTTCTTTGGGTTTGTATTTGTGTTTTTGGTTGGTTTTGCGTTTGGATTTGGTTTGTTTTCGTTTGCTTTTTCGTTTTTTTTGTTGGTATTGGTGTTTGTGATTGGGTTTGTTGTTAGGTTTTTGTTTTCGTTTGCTTTTTGTTTGTTTTTTCTTTGTGTTTGTATTGGTGTTTGTGGTTGTGGTTGGGTTTGTTGTTAGGTTTTTGTTTTCGTTTGTATTTGTAATTGTGTTAGCGTTATGTTTGCGTTTTGTTGTTTTGGTTGGTTGTGGTTTGGGTGGGCAATGCCGGGTTTATGATGATTACTAAACACACAGATAATGGTCTTTAACAGAAAGGTTTTTCACAGAAGCCAGAGCAGGGCCTGGCCGGGACGGCTAGTAATAATTTAAATCTTGAACTTTGTATACAGAAGAAACCAAAGCGTAAATGTGGGTTACTCTTTTCAGTAGGAGGTAAGGAGTTAAGACTTTCAATAAGAGTGATATGCGCTTTAAATTAGATAGCAACAGATTAATTCGCCAGCTTTTTTTTCACAATACCCGGAAAAGTACAAAAGGTACCGGTAAGATAGAGAGAAAGAGAGAGAGAGAGAGAGAGAGAGAGAGAGAGAGAGAGAGAGAGAGGGGGGAGGGGTGGGAGGCAAAGGGACAGAGTACAAATATACGGTGGTAGGGTTATTGGTAAAAAAAAACTAAACAAAAAAGTTGGTTAAAAAGAATTTGCTTTAATAATTTGAATTGACATGAAAAAGTCAATACAATCTGATAGCTCTCACTAGACTAACCAATACAACTGAGGCTTAACAAAGCCAAAATACAATACAAGCTCTCACTAGACTAAACCAATACAACTGAGGCTTAACAAAGCCAAAATACAATACAAGCTCTCACTAGACTATTCAATAAAACTGAGGCTTAACAAAGCCAAAATACAATACAAGTCTTAATGAGCACAAATAATTTAGTTTGGTGTTATTATTTTCAAAACTAAAAGAAAATAATGTTTTGGAAAATTGGAATTAAAACAACGAATTCTTATTTATTTCTCTTATAATATCTTCATTCGGTTTCCATACACAATGTTTTTTTTTCTTATTGCTTTGCTATCTCCACATATTCATATCAGAGTAATTACAGATACGACAGTAACCCACAAAGTTTAGGTTAGTCATTACTTAATTCACCGACAGTCAATTCCAAAAAAGTAGAGAATCGTTGAGCCCTTACTCAGCTGAAGTTAGTACCCGACATGATTTTTTATCATAATGTTATTTCAAATTGCAGATTAAACAAACTTTAAGCAACTACATTATAGACGTAGGTCGTACACGTTTCTTCATGCAAACTCCAGATTAAAGCAACATCACTATATCAGTCGGGCATACAAGTTTCTTGAACTTCTAGTTTAAGGTTTTCCGTATCAAAACTCAACATTATTTAATTACATTATACAAGTAGGTCATACAAGTTTCTCAACTCCTAGTACTCGGAATAACAATATTTAAGTAGGTCATACAAGTTTCTCAACTCCTAGTACTCGGAATAACAATATTTAAGTAGGTCATACAAGTTTCTAGAACTCCCTGTTTAAGGTTTTCCGTATCAAAACTAAACATTATTTAATCACATTATACAAGTAGCTCATACAAGTTTCTCAACTCCTAGTACTTGGAATAACAATATTTAAGTAGGTCATACAAGTTTCTCAACTCCTAGTACTCGGAATAACAATATTTAAGTAGGTCATACAAGTTTCTAGAACTCCCTGTTTAAGGTTTTCCGTATCAAAACTAAACATTATTTAATCACATTATACAAGTAGCTCATACAAGTTTCTCAACTCCTAGTACTCGGAATAACAATATTTAAGTAGGTCATACAAGTTTCTCAACTCCTAGTACTCGGAATAACAATATTTAAGTAGGTCATACAAGTTTCTAGAACTCCCTGTTTAAGGTTTTCCGTATCAAAGCTAAACATTATTTAATCACATTATACAAGTAGCTCATACAAGTTTCTCAACTCCTAGTACTCGGAATAACAATATTTAAGTAGGTCATACAAGTTTCTCAACTCCTAGTACTCGGAATAACAATATTTAAGTAGGTCATACAAGTTTCTTGAACTTCCTGTTTAAGGTTCTATTATTTTCCGCATCAAATCTAAAGTTAAAAATTATTGAATCACATTATATAAGTTTCTAGAACTTCTTGTTTCACATTCTATCATTGCTCATATCAAAACGAAAGTTAACATTACTATATACAGACATCAGATAAGCGTCTTGAGTTGAGTAATGGAACATACCGGCTGGCGTAAACACAGACTAACCATAATTTTACAAATCACGACATTCACACAATGATTAGAATCAACAGTCTACGCTGAGAGCTAAAACATAAGTGTATAAAGAAGAATTGAGTATTTTATACGGTGAACAAAATATTGAAATAGTGAATTATAAAATGTTTGAAATCATTTCCGTAACCAATATAGCCGGAAGTATGGACATAACATTTTTTTTTTGAAAAAATCAAATTTCTGACAAACGTTTCAATGTACCAAAGCCGATTCCACCGACATGAGCATAGCATTTCAATATAGATTGCTGTTTCTCTTAAGCACTCTGTATAAGTACACGTTAAAGACTGTCATCAGCTATATTGTTCTACAGAATTTAGTCACAAAATGTTTTCTGTTATTAATTTTTATGTGACCTCATGTCCGCCTTGCACATTATTTGCCGGTACTCGATGCATAATCTTCTGTGTAACCTTAATGAAATGCCGTATCTGTTTTACGCTAAGTCACACGGGATTGCAAAATAGTAATGAGAATTACAGTATTTAATGCATCAACTGTGCAAGAAACCCAGCCTCTTCTTAAATACAGTATTTAATGCATCACTCATGCAAGAAACCCAGCCTCTTCTTAAATACAGTATTTAATGCATCAACCATGCAAGAAACCCAGCCTCTTCTTAAATACAGTATTTAATGCATCAACCATGCAAGAAACCCAGCATCTTCTTAATTACAGTATTTAATGCATCAACTGTGCAAGAAACCCAGCCTCTTCTTAAATACAGTATTTAATGCATCACTCATGCAAGAAACCCAGCCTCTTCTTAAATACAGTATTTAATGCATCAATCATGCAAGAAACCCAGCCTCTTCTTAAATACAGTATTTAATGCATCAACCATGCAAGAAACCCAGCAGATTCTTAAGTTTTATCCACAGGGGATCCCGAAAATTCACCGTCCTCTGTGTCCGACTTGACCGCCACCACCTCCTTCGACTCCTCTTTCAGGATGACTTTGCTGCAGCTCCGCTCGTCCTTCTGAGACGAGTCCGCATAGACCGAGTTCTGGACACCGTGCAGCTTCCGTAACTCCCGTTTCCAGAGCCACGGTACGGTAGTCAGCATCAGCCTATACACGTCACGGTACTCTTTCCTGACCGCCGCGTAAATAGCCGCGTTGACCATCGAGTTGGCCACTGTCATGATCCCCGAGAGACTCCGCAGGAACTTGTCCTGTCTTTTATTCAGCATGTTGTTGGCCCTGAGCGGGGTGACGGTGTAGAAGGGCACCCACAGAATGATGAACAGCGCAGTCAGCACTAGCGTCAACTTCCCCGCGCCGATTCGATTCTTAAAGCTGCGGACTTGTTCCTTCGTCCAGACCGACCTCTCGACGTCAAAAGATTTGACTTGCTTGTACACAATGTACGCAATGTGTATGTTGATGGCGGCTGAAACGATTAGACACGCCTGGCCTGGGTAGGTGAGTACGTAGTTTATCACGTCGATTTTGAAGATCTTTATAAGCTGACAACGCTGGGCCACGTTGATGGAATAATCGTACGTGTTGAGAAAAATCGACATGATTAGAACCCTGGAGGTATTGTAAATCCACAAACCCATCACAATTTTGTACGCTCTTTCCGTCGATATCCAGTTTGAGTACTTCAAAGGACGAGTGATAGCCACATAACGGTCCACGGAGATGAGTATCAGAGAGTACAACGACCCCCCAAGCGCCAGGTCAACGACACCGTTTTTAAATAAACACAAAACCTTACTGTCACTTATGTAGAGATGGGTGACTGTTATCTTGGACATGAGAATCAGCGGGATGGCCAGCACTCCGGCTATGAAATCAAAAACGGACAGGTTCAGCAAGAAAATGTTGTGGCTGTTCTTGAAACCAGGGTACAGGACGATCCCCCAGAAGACCAAGACGTTGGAGAAGATGGTGAGGGGGATGAAGAAGGAGAAGCAGACGACTGCGGTGACCTGGATGCCGTGGATCAGAGAGTCGTGGGGCTCGGTTTTATTTCCCCTCGCTCCTTGTATGTACTCGAGCGGATAGAAAAGTGCTTCGTCGAATTCCATCGTTTTTTATATGTGGAGTAAACGGTATCTACGAGGACAATCGATCCACGGAATCGAATTGTAACAGAGAGATCAAATGAAGCTCGTTTCTGTGATGTATTGCGCCGTGGATTGTTTAAACTAGAATGTTATATCGTCATATGTTATAAGCAGTTGCACGATTCGTACGCAGCGTCGTTATGTAATACAGAGCGATTGCATTACTACGAGCGTCGCCATAGTAAACACCACCCAGGCGCATGCGCCGCCTCGTTGTGGTGGCTGAGGGGGAATCATGTGCCAACACAAGGTGTCATATCCGCTGGTACCGTCTGAGGTGAACTTCTGTGAACATAGGACCTGGCAAACATTCAATGTTGGAAAACATTAGATTAAAAAAGCTTAATGTTATTCATTACTCCATTAAAAAGACAACAAAACAACCAGCATCAATTGGTAAAAGTTCTTATACAAATCTACGCAGAACAGGTTATGTTTGTCTGTCGTTATCGCGGTTAAGTTCATGATTAGCTTGAAGATAAGTGTTTTACAATACCGTGGTCTAGCCGGTAGAGCGCAAGATTGTTGGCCCAGACAATACCTCATAGATGAGAGGTTCGGGTCTTCACGGCGCCACAGAAACTGAAGGACTCTTTTAAACACCTGACTCGTAGCCTAAAAATTATGAACTTGAACAGGCTGTTTCCTTAACATTGAACCTAACTGATGTTCAGAGTTTCTCCCGGGCATCTCTCTCCCCCCCCCCCCCCCCCCCGAAGAAAGTCTACCGCCCCCACCCCTCCAGACGAAATGGAATTTATATAAAAAAAAAAAAATATATAAACGCAGTATCCCCTGGAAATTTTAGTCCGCCCCCCTCCCCGCCACGAAAATTTCAAGTGCCCCCCCCCCCCCCCCCCCCGGAGAAAAAATGTCTGGAAGCAACACTGCTCATGTTTTGTCTCTGTTCCCTGTAAGAATTAATATTGATGTAAAAAATGAAAAATTTTCTGTCGAGATAGGTGGGAGGGTCTAGAATTGACTTCGGATCAGGGAGGTGGTTATGATTAAAGGTAGGTTTACGGATGTGATTATGGGGTTGAGTGGTAAAGTGCTTGACTGCTAGCGCGAAGGTGTCGAGTTCGGATCTGGGTTCGGCCTTGTGACTGTATGACGTCCCTGAGTCCACCCAGCTGTGATGGGTACCTGAATTGCGCACTTGAAAGTACAGGTCATGTAACATGTGAACTCTACTTCATCTGCCCTATAAATCGTTAGGTGGTTTCGGTTTGTAGTCTTACCTAAGTTTAATGTCAGATTCTGGTAAAGATACTTTTAAGTGAATTGCCTCTAAAACTGCCTACCGACTATTTAAAAAATGCTCTGATCGTTACGATGAAAGATTTAGTTCCTTACAACTGCAAGGATTAGGCCTTAGGTTAGGGTCAGCGACCATGTTTATACTATTATATTATTTATAACAGCCAAAAATACATTTGATACGCATTCAATATTTATGAAGTGCTTAGGATTATTAAAGTGTAATGCACTTTATAAATTTTGAGTTTAGAGAGCTAGAATCTATTAGATCTATTTTGTTCTGGTTCATAATAAAACAAAATTCTAGTCTAATTTTTATATCAATTTTTCTTATGTTTTGATTTAGGAAAGGTTAACGCTAAATGATAAACTCACAACAACATTCCGTGTGTTGCTTTAAAAAGTGGTCTGAATTCATTACTTCCGGTTTCATTACCTCTTGGATTAGAGATTTTTAAAAAAGTACTTTTATTATCTGATTTTTTGAAAGATGTCACGAAAGATTTAAAAAAAAATTGAACAGATAGTAACGACTGTGCAGAATTCACTTGCCTTCTCAGTTAAATTTAATGTGCAGTTTGTGCATGTTACAACAGGGATGTCTTGGGAGGCTGCAAAATCAACAGCTGTGGACCGGACAAAATGGAAGGGTATGGTCAAGGCAGTATGCTCAACAAACAGTGAAGAGGATTAATTCAAAGTAAGTAATGTGTTTTTAACTGAGGTATAACTTACATTTTATTATATTGCAGTGATGTTGTTTTGGGGAAAAATGTGTGTATAATGTCAACAGCATTGTTTTCTGACACAAACTTGAAATAACAGTAGGCGCCTACCTGTACAAATCTAACGAAATTATTTGTATTCGTTCGCTGGGGATAGTGGCTGTTTCCCATTTTCACAAAATGATATTGAGAACATGTAGACTGACCACAGCGACACTTTTCCACAAGTTTTATTTACTACAGGTAATTGTTACATTTTTGTTTAGAATCAGTCGAGATAAAACTGTTTTGTTTTCCGCACGATGATTTCGTGTGATGAATGCTAATCAATGCTGCGTTGAATTGAGCCTGAAAAGAATATTTATTTTAACTGAATTTAACTTTATAAATATAAATGGCCGAAATTTTTTGTCGAATTTTTTTTTTTAATTATTATTTTTATTGTATGATTGGAACAATACTAAATGTTAATTTTGTATTTAAAAATATGTTTTCATAACGATTTTTACTTAATGATTTATATGAAATATGATTTGAAGTAAGTTTATATTATTTTATCTCAAAGCATATTGACAGACTTAAATCGCGCGTAAAAAAAAAATCCTCCAACCCAAAGCTAAACACAAATCAAAACTTCCGGTTACCACTACATCCTAGAAAATGGCGGAGGTTGTTTTGGTTAGTAGTTTAGGCTACAGGTTATTGCTATCGTGCAATGGATTGTTTGTAAGCACTCGACCATTATTGAAGTAAATCCCTGTAGGATTGTGAAGTGAACTTTGTCAGGTTTTTTTCACGTTTTTCATATGTAAGTAATATATTATTAACATCACTGTATTCTGTATTCTAACTCTACTATGTTTGTTAGTGAATGTCTAGAGTCTAGACCAGGGGTTCCCAACCCCGTGCCCGCGGGCGCCATGGCGCCCGCCGAACGATTCGTATGTGCCCGCCTCTCACTATTCGACAGCAACAGAATTTTTTTCATATACATTATTGAAAGGTTGAAGGGGATGGAAATCGAAAGTTTGAGGGGGGGGGGGGGTGCAAATCGAAAGTTTTGTCCCCGGGTGACGAAAAGGGTCGCTACGCCTCTGGAAGGAGTTTGTCGATTTAAAATAGGTGGTGCCCGCCACCCTACCGATATTTTAGAATGTGCTCTAGAGTAAAAAAAGGTTGGGAACCCCTGGTCTAGACTATAGACGTTAAAAGAACGTGGACAATCCTCATAAGACCTAATGGTACTAATATTGCTAGATCTAATAGTGAATAGTCTAACACTATAATCACTATAGTGAATGTCTAGACTATAGTCACTATAGTGAATGTCTAGACTATAGACGTTAAGAGAACGTGGACCATCCTCCTAAGACCTACTGGTACTAACAGTGTTAGACACTATAGTCACTATAGTGAATGTCTAGACTATAGTCACTATAGTGAATGTCTAGACTATAGTCACTATAATGAATGTCTAGACTATAGTCACTATAGTGAATGTCTAGACTATAGACGTTAAGAGAACGTGGACCATCCTCCTAAGACCTACTGGTACTAAATAACAGTCTTAGATCTAATAGTGAATAGTCTAAAACTAATAATAGATTAAACCGAAACCACACACAAGTGAGATGATGACGTTACCTTCAAACAACGTGTTTGGGTCCAGAGTTTCTTTCAGGTGTCTTTCCTAATTCACCCCCCCCCCCCCCCCGCCCAAGTACGTCCACCGCTCACCCCCAGGATGAAAAGGAAAAAAATATAATCGGAATGCAAAATATTTACTTTAACCGGTGTCTACCCCCCCTCCTCTGAGTAAAATGTATGAAAGAAACCCTGTTAAGGTCGTAGATGGACTACACGTCTGAAGTTTATTATTGAGTTAGGAGCACTAACCTAAGACTAATCTTGAATCAGCCGTCGCTTAGGCCCCAATACTAACCCTAACCTTAAAATAAAGATACAGCAAGATAAAGATATTGTTAAGATGATCATATTATGGTGTTAAGTTTAAGGATGGTGTTATGCTTGAGAACTGTGTTATGTTGAATAATGGTTATTGTGTTATGTTTGAGAACCATGTTATATTTGAGAATTGTGCTTTGTTTGATAATGGTACTTTGTTTGATAATGGTGCTTTGTTAGAGAATGGTGCTTTGTTAGAGAATGGTGCTTTGTTGTTAAAGAATGGTGCTTTGTTTGATAATGGTGCTTTGTTAGAGAATGGTGCTTTGTTATAGAATGGTGCTTTGTTATTAGAGAATGGTGCTTTGTTTGATAATGGTGCTTTGTTAGAGAATGGTGCTTTGTTATAGAATGGTGCTTTGTTAGAGAATGGTGCGTTGTTAGAGAATGGTGCTTTGTTTGAGAATGGTGCTTTGTTTGAAAAATGGTGTTTCGTTTGAAAAATTGTGTTTTGTTTAAGAATGGCGATATGTTTAAAATTGTGTTATGATTGAGAATGGTCTTTTGTTGACAAATGCTGCTTTGCCGAAGAATGGTGGTATGTTTAAGGATATTGTGTTATGTTTGAGAATGGTGTTTTGTTTAAGAATGGTGTTTTGTTGACAAATGGTATTTTGTTGAAGAATGGTGTTTTGTTGACAAATTGTGTTTTATTAACATACCTTCATGCACTTTAAGCTGTTCCAATGTGATCAATGTATTTGCTGCCGTGTTGTCTACGCCACTACAAATTGAGACACTGTAAAACCTCTCTTTTTTTCCTTCACGCTACACATTTACACTACACACATATATATAATGTGTACTCATTAACTGTAATTTAATGTGATAATAATTAATATTTACTCTGCAGATAAGTTATTCCTCAACTGGATTGCGGAAAGAAGAACCCATATCTACACTTACCTTTGTTTTATTATCGATTTCAAACACCTTTAAAAGAATCGCTTAGTCCTACCGACGATCTCAATGGAGAGAACCAAGCAGTGTCATCACTGCAGTGACTTATTCTGATAGTTCCAGATGTACTGATCCCAAAAACATGGAGGGTGAATATCTGCCGAGCGATGTCTTTGATACGGGGTCAGCTACAAAAGGGAGGAGTTTAGTGTACAGCGACCCGAGTGTACAGGTAGCGCACCTGGTCTTCACGACAGCGGCCTCCGCGTTTATCCCCATCATCATCCTCAGCAACATGCTAGTCATTTGGGCCGTCGTCTTCTACCCGAGCTTCTTCAACAGCCAGCACCTGTTCCACCTGAGTCTCGCCGTGTTCCATCTGCTCTCTGGCACCCTGTGCCTGCCGTTGTATATCCTGATGTTCTTCGAGTCGGTGAAGGCGGTGTCTTCAAACAAGTACGTGTGTTTGTTGAAACACTGCAGCGTCAACGTCGCGGCCGGAGGATCGTTGTACTCCCTGTTCCTCATTTCTTTAGACCGGTACATCGCTGTTCTCCGACCCAGTATCTACGCTAAATGGATGACGGTGGCCAAGTCGGTAGTCATCATCACCGCGTTGTGGCTTTTAACCTGGATCCGCGCGTTCATCCCCATGATGGGTTGGCACAACTACGACGACAGCATCGAGAATCTCATCGAAAGATGCGACGTGTACAAAGTTTTTCCTCCCCTGTACATCCAGTACGTCGTCCTACTCCCGGGGGTGATACTCCTCGCCGCGTCCACGGTCATCAACGTTCACATCTTCTTCATCACGAAAGAACAGAAAGCGATCTGCGACTCGGAATGCGACAGCTGGACCCCGGACCAGCTCCGGATGTTCAAGTTGAAAATCTCCTCCTTGCAAGTCTCCAACATCCTTCTCCTTCTCTTTCTCCTATGCTGGATGCCTTACTTCGTCATCTCCTACTTAAAAATTTGCCTCGTCCTCGACGAGAACACATTTGAGATCGCCTTCACCTTGGCGATGATGCTGTGTTTCGCCAACGCCATGCTGAACGCGCCGATGTACGCGGCGATGAGGAACGACTACCGGGCCGTCTTCGCCATGATGGTGTACACGGCACCGTGGCGGTGGCCCAACCAACTGCACCGGCTCTTCATCATCCGCAACGTCCGGTTCTCCATCCACTACGAGAGCGAGCTGAAGAATCCGGAGGAGTGCTTTCAGGTCGACGACATCTACCTGCGCCCGTCCATAGTAGGGACTTTAATCTTTTAATCCGATTGAAGCCGGCAGGGGGTGACAGAGCCTAACGTGAAGCGGTTTTCACAAATAGATTATCAGAGACAGAGATGGGTGATGGAGATAGAGGAAGATGTTGGATAGTTCTAAACACGCAGTAATTAGAATGTGATTCATTGACTGAGTAAACAGTAGAGTAAAGCAAATGTTTATTTTTACCTGAAGAATTTCTCCACCATTAGTATAGGGAATGTGTTGTCTTCACCTAATATCAACTGGCGCTTTATATACAATATTAGCATATATATATATATATATATATATATATATATATATATATATATATATATATATATATATATATATATATATATATATATATATATATATATATATATATATATATATATATATATATATATATATATATATATATATATATATATATATATATATATATATATATATAACTTTCTATTACTCCAGGCTTAAAAAGCTTTAATTTACAATAAAAAATACTATTTTAATTGATAAAATTGTCTTACTTGATGCTGTTACGTTTTCTAAATATTGCGTTCTACATTTGTCCTCGGTTATTTCTTAAGGATGGGTTTTGTCTTAGGTACGTACAGTAAGGAGGTAAGTCATGTAGCCTTATGACTAGCCTTGGGCGAACCGCTAGTTGACTATTTGATGCCGATTGAAGAATATAAATGTCAAGTTAATTGTTTTAATTAATATATTATACAATAGTAGTCTTGGTGGTAATTTCTTCAACTCATTAAATCGTAAGAAAATAAGATTTAAAAAAAAAGCATTTAAACACCAACAAAAAAAATAAAAAAATAAAAACTGCATAAAATATATTAAAAATTCCAGATAGATCTATCCTTAACAGACACATTACATAGAATCTACATTAAAATAAATAAAACTTTTCGTTCACTAAGTGAAGTAGATTTAGAAATTCAAAATCATGTATTATTTGTCCAAAAGTTTTACAGTGAAATCATCACCGAATATAGATGGTGTGCACGGTATGGGAAAATCCTAGTCACGACACAGCTGAGTATAAGAAAACACATTTACACATTTACACACCTCTTATGAATAGGTCCTAAACCCAGTCTGACTACGCACCATATTTAACTACATCGAAGTCTAATGTTTTGGTTGTGGCGGTGATAGTTTTTTAGAGGTTTGGTTGTTCCTTTCCTTCGGCTTCCGGTATGTCAAGAACAATTTGCTGAATAGTGAGGGAGGAGGACTGTGTTCTCAAGGTTTGATTGTGTGTAGCTTGTCTTAAATGTGTTGTGTGTAGCGTGTCTTGAGTTTGTTTTGTTGTGACTATAGTGGCTAACACTCAGAACAGCAAACTATGGGATTATCATTATGTGTATCGGCTTATTTAAATCTTGCTTGATCTAGATCTACCTAGTCTATGGTATATTCAAACATTTTAAAACATTTCGTTACTTCTGTATTAAATACTTTTTAATATAAAGCAACGATCCTTTTAAGTAGGGATATACTGTGCTAGTGATAGCCTTTATTACAGTGGTCAATAGTTTCCATTTAGTTTTTATTTCGTTCTTTTAACTACACTAAACATCGCAACATAACCTTAGCACCATCAGTTAACATCACACCATAACGTTAGCACCATCAGTAAACATCACATCACAACCATAACATCATCAGTAAACATCACATCATAAATTTAGCACCATCAGTAAACATCACATCATAACCTTAGCACCATCATTTACCATTAAGATAGCCAGTAGCGTATATCTCCCCCCCCCCCCTTCCGCAAGGTTATAGGCCACAAGTTTGGTTTAGAGTTAGGTTTCAAGATTATTCAGATGTGAGGGTATTAAAATGTGTCCGTCATTAAATGATGTCCGTCATTAAATTGTGTCCGTTATTGGGCTTTATCAATTTTTCATATAATGTCTTAACTTACTTATTTGGGAGCGAAAAAGTACTTAAGTAATTGAATAGAAAACAATGCATTAAAAAACCCATGATAAATTGTATGTCGATATATTGTGTAAATTTGGCTGTATACATTTTCTTCTCTAAAGATACCCACTCATCCAAGTCATTGAAAAAAAAAATCCCAAACATGCCAATGAAGTTGGTAATCAAGAATGTTTTTGTGGACAGAATTCGTTGAACAACTTAAAGGAAACTAATCTTCTTTAAGACATGACTTTTGAATAAACTTACTCCACAAGAAAATAATCACAAAACCTACAACATAGATGCGGCTCTCTAGTTTGGATACAATTGTTAAAAATACTATAACACCAACCACAGTGTATCACATAAATGTATCACATGAAAGTCGTTTTTCTAATTACATTGAAGTTTGAAATTGCTGTCGGTTAGAATACCATAGGCCGACGAAACTACCCAATAAACACATCACAGTCGTGTACATTGTGGATGGATTTCTTAACCTGGATAATACTCAAGCTGTTTGAAGACATACATTGAACGAATCGGCCATTAAAAGGTGTCAGTCGCTGAAAGGTGTCCGTCATTGAAAGGTGTCCGTCATTAAAAAGGTGACCGTCATTAAATGGTGTCCGTCAATAAAATGGTATCCGTCTTTAGCTTGGAAGTGAGTGAAATAATTAAACCAGCCTGATAAAGCCAACATTGCCGAATATTGGAATAAACCCAGGAACTAAAACTACCCGGAAGGTGTTTCCTATAGGCAATATTTAAAATGTGTTCTAATTAGGCAATATTTAAAAGGTGTTTACATTAGGTAATATCCGAGGCTGTTCGGAAGGTGGTCACCATTTGAAAGGTATTATCCATTAGGAAGGTGTTCTCCATTAGGAAGGTGTTATCCATTCGGAAGGTGTTATCCATTAGAAAGGTGTTCTCCGTTAGGAAGGTGTTCTCCATTAGGAAGGTGTTATCCATTAGAAAGGTGTTCACCATTAGAAAGGTGTTCACCATTAGGAAGGTGTTATCCATTTGGAAGGTGTTATCCATTTGGAAGGTGTTATCCATTTGGAAGGTGTTATCCATTTGGAAGGTGTTATCCATTAGGAAAGTGTTATCCATTAGGAAGGTGTTATCCATTAGGAAGGTGTTCTCCATTAGGAAGGTGTTATCCATTTGGAAGGTGTTCATCATTAGGAAGGTGTTATCCATTAGGCAGGTGTTATCCATTTGGAAGGTGTTATCCATTTGGAAGGTGTTATCCATTTGGAAGGTGTTGTCCATTCCGAAGGTGTTATCCATTTGAAAGGTGTTCTCCATTTTTAAGGTGTTCTCCATTAGGAAGGTGTTATCCATTTGAAAGGTGTTCTCCATTTTTAAGGTGTTCTGCATTTGGAAGGTGTTATCCATTTTGAAGGTGTTGTCCATTACGAAGGTGTTCTTCACCAGGCAATTACCTACAGACAGCTCAAGCTTACACTGACCACAAGAATGGACGTGATGCTCGGGACGCCTGGTTCCATTGACGTGGCCGACGACAACTCCACCCTCAACGACCCCATCGTCCGGCACCTTGACCTGCTGTTCCACGCTCTCATCGCACTGTACATCCCGCTCATCATCGTCATCAACACGCTGGTCTTCTGGGGCATCGCGCTCTACCCAGGCTTCAACCACAGCAACAACATCTTCCTCCTGTGCCTGTCTGTCTACGATTTTCTCGTCGGTGCCTTCGCGATGCCGATTTATCTCATCCGTTATTTTAATTTGGAGGCCGTGGATGGAAATAAACACATGTGCATGCTGCGGTTTTTCTCGCTGACCTTATCTCTGTTAGGTTCGCTCTACTCTTTGCTTATAATTACAATCGATCGCTATCTATCGATAATATTCCCCCTCCGATACAAGAACTGGATCACAGCCGAACGGGCTAAAAAGATGGTTGTAGCGTTTTGTATTTTTAATGCTTTTCAAGCGAGTATCCCCATGATGGGCTGGAACTATTACGACTACAGAGTACCGTTGCAAGACCGGTGCGTCTTTTTTCACGTTCTGCACAAAGTCTACACCAAGGTGCTCGTGTTCTTGCTGGGTTTGATGTGCGTGATCATCTCCAGCATCCTCAACATTCACATCGGCATCATCGTCATGCGGCAGGTGAAATCGTTCGCCAAGGAGAGCTCCGTTTGGACGTCGGATCAGATCCGGTCGTTCCGTTCTCGGATAAACTCCATCAAGGTAACGATCGCGCTCAATGTTTTATACATCGTGCTGTGGGCTCCCTTCTTTCTAGACTCCCCGATGAAGTTATACAACGTACTGAGCAAGAGAGATTCAGCGATCTTGCGCTACGTCAGCTTGCTGATGGTTTACTCCAGCTCCATCTACAACGGGATGATCTACGCGACGATGCGCAAGGAGTTCAGACAGGTATATTGGATCATGCTGACCAACCCGCCGTGGAGGTGGAGGTTTAGATTGCGCCTGTACCACAAAGGGTACCACTCCATCGTCGGCACGTCCACGGACAGGTCCTCGGCTGTGGTGATATTTGCCCCGGGAGAGAACGTCAGCGCGGCGAAGGAGGAAGAGGAGAGAATATCCGAGGCGGCGTCGACGAAGGAGACGGTGGTGAGCACGGCACGCGAGGCGGAGGTCAAGAGCCCCGGGGAGGAGATGGTGGGGACGTCGGTGGACCAGGGTCAGAGGCACCAGAAAAAAGTGAAGGCACAGGAGAAAGAGAAGGTGTCCAGCTCCATCGCCACCTCCGTCTTCGTGGTCACGTATCAGCCGAAAAAAAACGGAGGAGCCGGCGGAGGAGCAGGGGGGTGGGGAGACCAAGAAGGACTGATTATACTAGTGGGGGAGGGGGGACAACAGGACTTATTATACAGAGGTGGGGGGGGGGGACAACAACATGGGCAGTCGGACTGATTATACAAAGGGGGTGGGGGGGACAAGTACTGTCAGGACTGATTGTACTAGTGGGGGGGGGGGGGGACACACACACACCAAAACGGTCAGGACTGATTACAGAGGTGGGGGGGGGGGTCAACAAGAAGGACGTTGAGGACTGATTATACTAGTTCGGGGGGGGGGGGGACAGACGATCAGGATAGTTGGGGTGGGGTGACGGTCAGGACTGATTATACAGAAAGAATGGGGGGGGGGAGAGCTGTTATCCATGATGGATAAGACGGGTTATACAGGGGAAAACCAAGACAAAAAAATATAGCCAAGCCTGATTATAAAAAAAAAAATAACAACTGAATATGTTTTTAAAAAAATGTTCATTTCCTGTGGAGTAGGCTATATTATGACCCGACAACAGCAAGCGAACAGAACCAAGCAAATATAAAATTAACCTGGAAAAAGACACTACATGGGCTATAGAAATCTCTGAAAATCGAAGAGCACACATAGCAGTGACTTCCCTGTTGTTCGCAATAGAGCAACTATTCTGAAGACGCCAGTCTTAAAGGGTACCGTTGAAAACGTTGCTGTTATCGAAGAAAAGGACGCTGATGATTTTTGGTATTTGTTTGGGACAAACTGCACGACATATATTTTTTTTTCAAGTTCTTGTCGCTGTTGATGATCAATTTATCAATTAATAATTTTAATAATTACACAAATGTAAGGCATTTATATTTTAGTATTCATTTTTATTACGAAAAAAAATTAAAATAATTTTTTTAAAACAATTTTTGGTTGTTTTTTTTCACATTGATATCTTTTATGAGCCTGTTTGGAATATGACCATGAACGTGTTTTGTGTTTTTCGCTTTGTGGAAGAAGTTCTAAAGTAAATCTAGAGACTTATAAATTTGTATGCATTCATGCATATATTTGTGGTTTTGTTTTTGAAGAGTAATTCTGTATCCCATTTCATCGTACAATAACACATGTCATTGTGACAGTGTTAGACGCATAATTCAAATCCCAAATCTCATTATGACAATAAAAGACACAAGGTAGATATCACAAGTTTTATTGTGACAGTGGATCACAATCACACATTATATGGTAAAATTATGAAACAGAAGACCACATTCACATTTTCTATAGTGAAAGTGTGAGAGATAAGATCACATTCACATATCCTATGGTAAAAGACCACATTCACATATCCTATGGTAAAAGACCACATTCACATATCATTTGGTAAAAGACCACATTCACATATCATTTGGTAAAAACCACATTGACATATCCTATGGTAAAAGACCACATGGTAAAAGATCACATTCACATATCCTATGGTAAAAGATCACAATTACATATCCTACTGTAAAAGATCATATTCACATATCCTATGGTAAAAGACCACATTCATATATCCTATGGTAAAAGATCGCATTCAGATATCCTATGGTAAAAGACCACATTCACATATCCTATGGTAAAAGACCACATTCACATGTCATTTGGTAAAAGACCACATTCACATATAATATGGTAAAAGATCACATTCACATATTCTATGGTGAAAGACAACATTCACATATCCTATGGTAAAAGACCACATTCACATATCCTATGGTAAAAGACCACATTCACATGTCATTTGGTAAAAGACCACATTCACATATAATATGGTAAAAGATCACATTCACATATTCTATGGTAAAAGACAACATTCACATATCCTATGGTAAAAAATCACATTCACATATAATATGGTAAAAGATTACATTCACATATCCTATGGTAAAAGATCACATTCACATATAATATGGTAAAAGATCACATTCACATATCCTATGGTAAAAGACCACATTCACATATAATATGGTAAAAGACAACATTCACATATCCTAACGTAAAAGATTACATTCACATATCCTATGGTAAAAGACCACATTCACATATCCTATGGTAAAAGATCACATTCACATATCCTATGGTAAAAGACCACATTCACATATCCTATGGTAAAAGATCACATTCACATATCCTATGGTAAAAGATCACATTCACATATAATATGGTAAAAGATCACATATCCTAACGTAAAAGATTACATTCACATATAATATGGTAAAATATCACATTCACATATCCTATGGTAAAAGATCACATGCACATATCCTATGGTAAAAGATCACATTCACATATTTGCTGGGTGTGTACCACAACTTTGCCCACGTGATTCCCGATTAAGTTGCGTCGCTTTCAGCTGCTCTTACCCCATACACAAAGAGGAACTTTTATTTAAAGGCTGTAGTACCGTTGGTTTAGAGCTGTCCGTGTATACTGTCCTACAGATTGTTACACCTGTCTAAAAAGACTGTCCTACAGATTGTTAAAGCAGTCCGTAAAGACTGTCCTACAGATTGTTACAGCTGTCCGTGAAGACTGTCCTACAGATTGTTACAGCTGTTCAAGAAGACTGTCTGACAGATTGTTACACCTGTCTAAAAAGACTGTCCTACAGATTGTTAAAGCAGTCCGTAAAGGCTGTCCTACAGGTTGTTACAGCTGTCCGTAAAGACTGTCCTACAGATTGTTACAGCTGTCCGTGAAGGCTGTCCTACAGATTGTTACAGCTGTTCAAGAAGACTGTCTGACAGATTGTTACACCTGTCTAAAAAGACTGTCCTACAGATTGTTAAAGCAGTCCGTAAAGGCTGTCCTACAGGTTGTTACAGCTGTCCGTAAAGACTGTCCTACAGATTGTTACAGCTGTCAGTGAAGACTGTCCTACAGATTGTTACAGCTGTTCAAGAAGACTGTCTGACAGATTGTTACACCTGTCTAAAAAGACTGTCCTACAGATTGTTAAAGCAGTCCGTAAAGGCTGTCCTACAGATTGTTACAGCTGTTCAAGAAGACTGTCTGACAGATTGTTACACCTGTCTAAAAAGACTGTCCTACAGATTGTTAAAGCAGTCCGTAAAGGCTGTCCTACGGGTTGTTACAGCTGTCCGTAAAGACTGTCCTACAGATTGTTACAGCTGTCCGTGAAGGCTGTCATGTAGCTTGTTACAGCTGTCCTACAGATTGTTGTGTTACAGCTGGTCTTGTTATCTGTGACGTCAGAGATAAGTACCAGACACCAGACAAGATGGCCGCTCCAAGATTGTCCTTTCTATTTTTCGTCTTATTTATTTCGGCAGGTAAAAACACACATCCTTATATAAAATTATAGTACCTGTAGCTCAATGTTTTATCACAGATTTTATATTAGCTGCTTTATTTAAAATTTATATAAATAAGATATTTCGTTTGGAAACGAACCTATATTTCGTGTTTGAACAACACACTTGAACTAAAATCTCAGGAATAAAATTATGAAGTCGTGTTGACTTTTTTCAAGCTAGTAGTAGCTCTAATTTGTTGAACATAAATGAATTTATCTTGATTGTTTTCTTAAGGCTGTGGTCAGCTGATCACACCTTACCAGTCCTGTCAGATGAAGTGTATCCAAGACATCAATCATTACGTCACACCTGAGTCGAAGCCTCTCTTTCAACAAGGATGTCAACAGTACTGTCAGCTACACGCGTAATTGTGGTTTTTTCTTCTTGTAATTTAAAATTTGCAACGTGTGTAAGCCCGAGTTTCTTCCAGGCATCTCTTCCAGGAGGGGAGGTCAGAGCCCCCCCTCCCTCCCGAAGAAAGTCTACCGCCTTTCTCCCCCCCCCCCCCCCCCCCAAACGAATTGGAATGTATATAGAAAATGTATACTTTTAACAGTAACCGTCCCCCCGTCGGAAATTTTAATCCGCCCCACCCCCCCCCCCCCCCCAGAAAATTTTTAGTGCCCCTCCCCCGGACAAAAAAGTCTGTAAGAAACACATGTGTGGTGCAGCGTGGTCGAAGAGTAGAGCTTTCGACTGCTAACCCGAAAGTGCCGGGCTAGAGTCCGCATGTACTCAACGTTAAAGAAATTAAAGGCGGATGGGCATAGTGCTGACAACACTATTCCTTCGCATGTCGTGGACTATAAAACTGCGAACTCTACTTCACCTGCCATATGGACAGTATGTTTTGACATTGTACTTTCTTTTTGTAACAAGGAATGAACTTTATTCTATACAAATTGTAACAAGAAATTAACCATTTGTAGTTAGTTTAAACTTTAAAGTGATTTCTATAATTTTGAATTTATTTTATTAAATTATTCTATCTTTAGTTATGACGATTTGCTGGCACAGATTGGTGGTCAGACAATTCTGTAAACAGGACAGTGATGTTTGGTTAGAACACATCAGTGGATGTCAGTCTATGGACATCATGTCAGCACTTGCTGTCTAGTGTAGTAAAATAAAAATACAGGAAGATTTGTTATACAATATGTTAGTTATATCTGTGTTCATTACTGTGTTTTCAGCCTTCTCTCTCTTCCCCTCTGTCAATTCTCTTCCTTTCTCTCGCTATTTCTTTCTCTTTTTTTCACTATGTCCCTCTATCTTAGTATCCCCTATATCTCTCTTATTCTCTCTTTCTCACCCTTTATCTCTTAGCTCAAGCTAAGGTCATTAGCCAGTCAGGGTGAGGCATGGGTTATATAGCTGACCCCATGTTAGTCGTGAGTAAATAAACAGTTCCCGGCTGATTGGGCCGGGTTTCGTCATGAAAATGAAATCATTCACCCACGGGTACGGCGGCGATTCAGACATTTTGTGACGATTGTTTGTTTGTGTGTGGAAAAAAAGGGGGGGGGGGCGGACGAAGACGTGTATTTTGTATTTGTAAGGAGAAACATAATACATTTTTAAAAAAAAAATCATCAGAATAATGGCTTCTATTGTGGTCGTGAGTCTTTCTATCAACTGATTACGCAATCTGATGAGAAATCATTTCTGATTTTTCGGAGGTGTGTGGGATTAGTAAATCAACTAAAATAGCAAGACATTATCTATGGAGGACCTTCAGTAAAACATATAAGTAATAGTGTCCATATGCAGTACTAGCTAATCCCCTTCCCAATGGGGCAATGTCAACCCAATAGATGACAGCTGGCTAGTACAGTAGCGTAGCGAGGGGGGGGGGACATTTGTCCCCGGGCGCCGACTTTAGGGGGCGCCAAAATGGGTTGGAAAAAAATAAATTGAAAGGTTGAGGGGGTGCAAATCGAAAGTTTGAGGGGGGGGGGGGGTGCAAATCGAAAGTTTGAGGGGAGGGGTGCAAATCGAAAAGTTTGTCCCCGGGCGCCTTGAAGTGTCGCTACGCTACGCCTCTGGGCTAGTAACATGCTTCGAACAACTTCTAGTTACATGACCGATGAATTCAGGTGATCAACATGTAGGTGTGTACTTTACCTGTGTGTGATCTAGACCACCTGACCCCCACAATACTATCTTTAACCTGGGCAATTTGCATGGGTCACAGAGGTCAAGGGCAACGATAAGGCTTGGCTCAAATCACATTCGCTCTCTCCTTATCTCTCTATCTCTCTCACTCTCTTTTCCTCTCTTTCTCTCTGTATCCTCCTCACTCTCTTTCCCTCTCTTTCTCTCTGTATCACTCTCACTCTCTCTATATCCCTTTCACTCTCTTTCTCTCTCTTTCTCTCTGTATCCCTCTCACTCTCTCTATATCCCTTTCACTCTCTTTCTCTCTCTTTCTCTCTGTATCCCTCTCACTCTCTCTATATCCCTTTCACTCTCTTTCTCTCTCTTTCTCTCTGTATCCCTCTCACTCTCTCTATATCCCTTTCACTCTCTTTCCCTCTCTTTCTCTCTGTATACCTCTCACTCTTTCCCTCTTTTTCCCTCAGTCACTGTCTCTTCCTCCTTTTCTGTCGCTCCCACCGACACATCTCTCTCTCTCTAATCTCTTCAGATAGGAACAGGGCATTTCCCTCATCATTTACCCCCCGGAGATTCCCCCCCCCCGACATTACCCCCCGGACAGGGTTAGAGTTAGGGCTAGTTTAGGGTTAGGGCTAGGGTTAGGGTTAGGTTTAGGGCTAGGGTTAGGGTTAGGGTAGGGCTAGGTTTAGGGCTAGGGTTAGGGTTAGGTTTAGGGCTAGGGTTAGGGCTAGGTTTAGGGCTAGGGTTAGGGTTAGGGTTAGGGTCAAACCAATGTCTAGCGTTGGTTTTGGTTTTGTGTGAAGTTATAGGCAAATGTGGATGCTTAGGTTTTGGTCTTTTTCTTAAGGTTAGGATTAAAGTAGTATATAGGTATAGAATTCTAGTCAGAGTTAGGATTCTAACTTAAGAGATGGTGTGGGTGGGGGGGGGGGGGGTAATTCCCCATGGGGGGGGGGGAATTGATAGGGGGTAATTGCTCCGGGGGATAAATACGGGGGGATGTCCGGGGGTAATTCCGGGGGGGGGGGGGTGAAGTCCTGTAGCCCTTCAGATATACTAAAGATAAGTTGGTCCGGCCGATCAACAACAGCAGCAAATGATAAACAATGCACTCAAACACGAACAGTGCTGCCAGATCATTGGCTAATCTTCATTTGATTATTTACAGTGTATTTTTGGTTGGAAAGAAAAATGTGACATTAATTTTTCGAGTAAAGTTTGATTGCACGCAATTACACACACACGCATTCTCTTTCTCTCTATATATATCTCTCTCTCACTCACACACGCACACATCGTGCGCTACCCCCGAACACAATTTTTCGTTTGTTATTTTACGAGATTTAAACACTTTTTGTTCGAAATCCAGGGAAAGGCGTGGTCGAGTCGGTAAAGCTCATGGTTGTTAAACCGAAAAGTCTCGAGTTCGAACACACTGGCAGATGGGGATCGTTAGCTTGGGACAGCCACTCTTCTAGGAGAGACAACTCCAAAATCAAACAACTGCTGCCTTATAGTTTGTTCTTGGTTGGACAAAGGCTATGGAAGCAAATCCAAAAAGAAAAGCTGGCTGAAATCAGAGTCCATGGCCTCAATGGCGGATAACCAGTTGACACGTATATTAATTGTGATGGAGGCGTGGTCGAGTCGGCAAAAGCTCATGGTTTAAACCCTCTGACAGATAAGGCTCGATACCTTCCAACGCTAAAAATTAAGAACGAAGAAGAAGTTCGAAATCCACCAAAGTATTATTGAACAAATATTTCTGGCCCTTTCTTTTAGCTACACAACAATTACATTTTACAAAATGCTAAATAGAAAAATGTTAAGGAAAACAAAAGTTAAACCAAGTTGTGACATTTTTACATGAGTAGAGTTTGCTTCAGTGAGTAAAGTTGCACTACTGTGACAAGACTGTAATATGGGTTGAAATTTGGGTTCGACTCTTGTTTAGAATGACGTCGTTCTGAACTATTCACAACATATTTGTATAACTCTAACCAAACCTTGAGTCATTGAAAACATTTAATTAGTAATCTTTAACATAGATGGTCAGTCGATATACAGTTGCACTTCCCACAATTCAATACTCGCTTTATTGGAAAACTTAAAACAATGAAACAGTAACAAAAAATGTCTCTTTATTCAGTCTCAAACAAGATAACTTGAAACTAAAACAAAAGTTTCTATTAAAAAAAAACGACATTTTTATGTGTGTAAAAAAAAACAGAAAAAAAAACACTTCAAGCACGCACTATCGCTTCGCTTGCACGGGATACAGCTCCAGATACAACAGACTGGCTTCTCTCAGATGCACTATCTTTTTTACTCTCCTCCTTACTTCTTTTTGCCGTCTCCACGGTCAGTCTCCTCACCGGATCCACGTTGCTGTGAGACGCGGAAGAGTGGGACGACCCGGTCTCAACGTTGCTCGCGTAGCGTGCGGCCGCGTCGAAATTTTGTTCCGTGATGGAGTCCCGAGCAAAGGAGCTTTGGGCGAAGGTCGTTTTCTCGTCCGGGTTGCGGAAAAACCCCATCCCGTGTTTTTCCCGATACATCTCCCGTAAGGTCGCCCGCCATCGCCAAGGGCAGGTCACCAGCATGATCCGGTAGACTTCTCGGTAGTCTTCCCTGAATATAGCGTAGATCGGCGCGTTGAGTAGGGAATTCCCGAAGGAGAGGATGAGCGAGACGCACCTTATGATTTCAACGTCTCGTTTTGAGACGTTGAAGTACGTGACTGGGGAGATGACGATGAAAGGCAACCACATGATGATGAACATCAGCATCAGCATCGACGTCATCTTGACGGTTTTTATTCGGTTCCTCAACTTGATCGACTGCTCGTCATTTTTCCCGATGCCCTGTTTTTCAAAAGCTTTCACCTGCGACCAGACGACGACCAGAATTTGGGAGTAGAGGATCGTACAGACGAAGAGTACAGGCGCCCCGCCCGCCAGAACGATCATGAGCACGTAGTACTTCGGCAACGTCTGGTAGAAGTAGCAGCGCAGATAGACATTACGGATGTCGTAGTTGTAGTTGTGCCAGCCGAAGAAGGGAACCAACGTCAAGGCTATGATCAAAACCCACATGATGATCGTGCCTTTCATGGTTCGCTCAACCGTGATGAATTGCCGGTACTTCATGGGCCACATGATGGCAAGATACCTGTCTAAAGTGATAAAGAGCAAAGACAACAACGACGCGCCGGCCGTTAACACGGGGGAGGTGAGGAAAATCAAACAGGTGCTTTGTTTAGAGAACAACATGGCTTTTGTTGAGTCTATGTAGCTGAGCATGTAGAGGGGGAGGCAGTAGATCCCCATGAGAAGGTCCGCCACGGACAAGCTGAGCAGGAGGATGTTGTTGGAGTTGTAGAAGCCAGGGTAGAGGATCATCCCGAACACGACCAGAGAGTTGGACAGGGTGATCAGCGGCACGTACACGGCCGAGACGGCGAGGAAAATTTTCTGCGTCAGCAGGACGCTGTCGTCTTTCAGGTAGCCGAAGGTGAAGTTCTGCGACTCGGAATTGGCCGCCAGGAGCATGTCAAAGTCAATTAACCCCGCCATTTTAGCGGTGTTTACTTTTTGTTAGCAGCAATGTTTTTATTTTTTATTTTAGGTACACCTCATGTTTCCGTCACTGCATAAAACACAGGTAGTTCTATATACGACATGGCTCACGAGGGTAGGGCATAGGACACGGCACCCTCACTGTCGGCTGTCACTGAATGGTGTGAAAACAAAAGAGAAGTTATGTAATCAGCACACCCAGCTATTGTAACGTTTGGCCGTCTCCCACCATAACCTCGAGAAAAAAAGATTTGGGGGTAAATTGAAGAAAAATATAAGGTATCAGAATAATTTGTAAATTTGATATTTTTATGATATATGTAAATGAATATTTGTATAGGATCTCAAGGGGGAGGAGTCACCTGGAGGGTTAACACGCCCCACACTTTAACACACATACATTTATAGACCCCCTTCCAAGAAAAATATAAAACGAAAATTAAAAAAAAAAACCCGAATGACTAACTACTCTTTTGCGTTTATGGGACCTTAAAAAAATTACCCACAGTTTAGTACTGATGTGTGCAAACGTAAAATAGATTTTTAAAAGGGGCGGGGTGGTTGGATGGTAGAACGCACAACTACGGACACCAAAGTAGAAAGTTTGGATCCTAGACTCGAGACATTAAGACGTCTTTGTGTCCATCTAACTCTGCTGGGCACCTGACTCACATCAGGGAGAGGAATGGCGGCATTGAACTGACAACACTCTCTCCTTCATATGCCGAAGTCACAGGCACAGGTGAACTCTACTTCATCTGCCCAGTTACGAAAGCGTTCATTTCCTTTCTATGTCCATTATAACGGATGTCGGTTATGTGAAAGTGTTCAACGCTATCCTTGCTGGTATATTTACATCTTGTTAAGTATCACTGTATTAACACCATAAAGAGTTTCTTTCAGGCATCTCTTCGAGGAGGGGGAGGGAATGGGGGAAGCACGTCTACCGATTCCCGAACGAAATATATTTTATATAGAAAATATATACTTTTAGTGCCCCCCCCCCTCGAAAGTTACAAAAGCTGCACCTCCAGGGAGAAAAAAAAAGTCTGAAAGAAACACTAACACCATAACTAACTCACCTTAAAATATAAACATACTATGTAACTATACCAAATCACTTACTTCCTGTTAAACATCGCAATCAGGCAGACATGTTGCTATTTAATTTCTCTACAACCAAGACTTAGTTATTTCCACTGTTTTTTGATAAAACATAGTAGATCAGATTCACATATTCCATACAGTAGATTTGACAGACTTGTAGTCGAGTTGTGTTTTTTAAAAGTTCTATTTCACATCCTAGCTTTTGATAAATGAAACGTCACTTCAAAGTGTCATTTAAAAAGCTGAACTCGAGAGTTTTTATATTAAATCGAAGTAGAGATTTAAAACTTGCCGTGTAAATACAGCTAGATGAATGTTTGTCCTTTATTATGGCTTCATATTGAAAAAATATTATCAAATGTAGAATAAACTGACATGTTCACTAAATAATATTTTGCTTCCGGGTTGATTGTTTTTTAAAATATCGAAACAAAAATCTTGAAACAATATTGGGAAAGATTTACGGCAAATAATTTTACATAAAAGGGAGGTAGTCTAAAAGTTTTGACATTATTTATTTTATTATTTCCCTTGAAAATATCTATAAAAGAAAACACGGTTTTTAAAACTTTTTGGTGAATCATTTAAATCTTTTCCCGTTCGTGCCCAAGACATATGGGGCAGATGAAGTAGAGTTCATCTGTTTCAGTGACTACGACTTATGAAGGGATTGTGTAGTCAGAACTATGCACAGTCGTATAAATTTCTCCCTAACGTGAGTTAGGTAACCATCAGAGCTGGGTAGACTCAGGGACGTTCTACTGACGTGAACTGGGTTTTTACTGAATAGATTAAATATAACAGGAACAGTAAAACAATGTAAACATTTAAAATGAGTAACGACATTTGTATCCTACCCATCTTTCACACACAGTTAGCAGTGGAGTTATGATGAGATAGGTACCATGTATCCCTCTCGCACCATGTTGTTTTTTTCTTTTTGTAGTACACAGTGCCTTATATAGACCAATAGAGAAGGACAAAGGAGTAGCCCACGACAATACAAATATGGAGGACGTGGCGCTGGGAGCGACACACACTGCGAAAGGCTCACTCTTATGTGACACGCCAGGCGCTTGAGTGGAACCCCCAGGGAAGGGGAAAGAGAGGGCGCCCAAGACAGACCTGTAGACCGAGTCTTCTAACGAACTGAAGACAGTAGGGATGTCTTTGGAGATTGCAAAATCAACAGCCGGGGACAGTGCCAGATGAAAGGGTATGGTTAAGGCCCTATGCTCCACAAGGTGTAAAGAGGATAAAGTCAAGTCAAAGTCAAGTTTCATCTTGCCATTACCACAGTAACATCAAAACGATTTTACTTGCTACAACACTTCTACTTCGTTCTTATTTGTAATGTCGGAAGTGATTTCCTCCAACACAATTATTAAGTACTATGTACTAACTTTTTATGATCCATAAATGCAGTTGAACTAACAATACAACTTTTAAAGATACGTAGGATTATGACAGGATTTTATTGTTAATACAAAAGCTAATTAAAATATACAACAGCAAACAGAGTATCTTTATCTTGATACTATTTATAACTTTTTAAAAGACTGACACACACGCACAACAGCTCATGACAGTTCTTTCTTTACAATGTTTTGTTTACAGTTAGGCTAAACAAAATAAATGATCAGAAACCATTTAGAGTGATTGGATTAAAAAGTAAACTAACAAAATGTACACGTGTTTTCTTTCAAAACATGATGACAAGACAATTTAACTTCCACTAGATGTTTTCAATACGTATATCTAAGATTGATCAGCTAATAACAATCTGCATCATTTATTGCGCTACCCACAATTAGCAGACAAATATCAAGTTTATATATATATATATATATATATATACATATTTAAATTCAAATGTGTAAATTAACTTTTTAGTTTATCTAGAAACCTATCTACATTGAAATTGTGATTGTTTTTTCTGAAAAAGTAAACATTATTGAGTTTATTAAGTACAGTCTCATCTATTCATTAGCATTCAATCTACACTCAAATATACCAACCACGTCATACATCCAAGTCTGTCAAATAGAATATATATATATATATATATATATATATATATATATATATATATATATATATATATATATAAACTGTCATCAGCGTCCGACACCCTTACCCCCACCCCCCGACCCACTCCGGAAAATTCAGTCCGTAACAATCACCCCCCCCCCCCCCCACCTCCTGCGGACAAAAAAAATCTAAAGAAATACTGCAAACTAAATATTTATTTTCAAACCGGAAGCTAATTTTAAATAAAACTACATTTTTGACCATTATATCTAGGCCAAATCTTAACTTTAACGCCCAGAGTCGTCGCGACCATTCCCGGCGCCCGGTGACAAACTTTCTATTTGGCGCCCTCCCCCCCATATATTTTTTTTTATATTTATAATGCAAAACTGAAGCTAAAATGAGCTATTCTTTTTTTTCCAACCCATTTTGGCGCCCCCTAAGGTCGACGCCCGGGGTCATTTGTACGCCCCCGACCCCACCCCCCTCGCTACGCCTCTGTTAACGCCAACATAAGGTAGTAAGGTTCACCCGAGAGCACACACATAATAACCTCATTTACACAACACCAATACATTTGGCACCAGACATATACCCCCCCCCCCCCCACACACACACAACACCCCGACACACCTAGACGCCCCAGCACAACTCAACATAATAATTGTAATACACTCTTCAAGGAGATTGGGTGTAGCGAATGGGACCCCTCAGTTGCTACTCATGACATCAGTGCTACGTCACTTCCGGTGGGTGTGACGGGGTGTGAATTGTTTGTAAACATTGACAACGTGGTCATCTTTGTGTTTTTCTCATCTCTTCGTTTCGTTTAGTGTGGATAAAAAATTCTCTGATTTAGCTGTAAAGGAAAGAAAAAAAGTCAAGTAAGAATTTTTTTTTTTAAAGTCATAAAAACTGACTTGTCATATCACTGGAAAGTTAGAGCTCATTTTTTTTTTTGATAAAGGAGTATGGTGGGAATTTTTGGTGGTCTTTACTTTACCCAACTAATGCCAGGTACTCGTTTGGGCTGAGTGGACAAAGAAATTGAGCTATGACAGAAGTTTATTTTTTTAAAAAATGGACAAATGGAACAGGAGTTTCTTGTATTGTGATAAAAAGAACTTACACACGACTTAACAATTTTCAGAAGTAAATTGATTTTTTTTTGTAAATCTGATTTTGATTACTAAATAGGCCTACTTATGACAGCTGGTAAAACGGAATTTAGACAAAAGGGCTAGGGTTTCTTTCCGACATTTTTTCTCCGGAGGGTATGTGGGGTGGGGCGGGGTCTTAAAACCTGGGTGAAGAAAAGGTACGAAAGCATGTTAAATTATTTATTTTCAATATAAAAAAAAATGTCAACTTCGTCCCGTAAAGATGCCTGAAAGAAACATTGAAAAGGGCATAGTCATAAAACACAAGATGAAATTTAAATTCACGATAAAAAATTAAGTATGATACTTATTTTAAAACGAAGAAAAATTGATAGTTTTATGATAATATTATAAAAATAATAATTCAATTTATTTTTGTATCTAATGTAGGCTACCCGACTAAAAAAAAAAAAAACTGGAATGTTCGCGACAAAAATCAAGGTGTAGACAAGAATGTTCTGCGGGAACGCCGCGAAATCAACTCCTACAGAACGCCAGCTGGCGCGCAAGCGTAAACTCACACCGCGGAAAGATCACCGCGTTAACGAAACATGTACTCACCAAACTGGCAGGCCTTGCCGTGGAAATCCTCAGGACATTTGCATTTCCCCAGGTGGCAGCGGCCGCCGTTGAGACAAGGGGTTCTACATGAGTGTTCCTTCTGTCGGCACGCGGGCCCCGTGTAGCCCGCGTTACACAGGCAGGTGTTGGGGCTGACACAAACTCCCTTCACGCCGCAGGCTGGCTCACAGATGGCTGGTGGGATAGGAGGTGGTGGGATAGTGTCACAGTAGTGGGATAGGAGGCAGTAGGATAGTATCATATGGGATAGGAGGCAGTGGGATAGTGTCACAGTAGTGGGATAGGAGGCAGTAGGATAGTATCATATGGGATAGGAGGCAGTGGGATAGTGTCATTTGGGATAGGTGGCAGTGGGATATCATATGGGATAGGAGGCAGTGGGATAGTATCACAGTTATAGGATAGGAGGCAGTGGGATAGTTTCACAGTAATGGGATAAGAGGCAGTGGGATATTATCACAGTTATGGGATAACTGGATGTGGGATAGTTTCACAGTTATGGGATGAGATTAAGTGGGATATTTTCACAACAAACAATAACAAATCTATTGCTGCTGGGATATGAAGAAGTGGGATGTTATCACACTAAGGGGGTCAGATGGAGTGGGTTATCCCACTAAGGGGGTCAGATATAATGGGCTATCATTACACTATTAGAATCAGAGCCAGTGGGATAGTATAACACTACTAGGATACGATTTAGTGGGATATAAATATCAGACTAAGGGAATCAGATAGACTGGGCCATCATCACTCTAAGGTGTATTTAAATAGTTCACGTGTCAGTATCTACGTAGAGGTTTGGACTAAAAGACTTACGTAATTGACACCGTGCCCCCTTGTAGCCTGGTTTACAGCTACATTTGTTGAAGGCCAGACATTCGCCGCCATTTTTACACGTAGGGCTACACTTCAACTTCCGGTCTAAAGAAAAATGTATTTAAATTACAAATAATACAGGCCCATAATAATACAAAGTACAAGCACATAATAGTGCAAGCACATAATAGTACAAATAATAGAAGTACATAATAGTGCAATTAGTAAACGCACATGATATAAGTTTCTGCTGTCAATATATCAGTAATATATAGAAGATTGTAATGAGGTTTGTAAGTGTTGACAATGTGAACTAAAGCTTGTAGTTGTTTCTCTCACTCTCTTCTTACTAACTGGCTCTTTCAATGTCTTGTTGTCTATTCGAGGTAATATACTGTGATTACTATTGACTACCAAAGGCTTACTGCGTTGCCATGAAAACTCAAGTTTTGTAGTTTGAATAGACCGACTGTGTTGCTATGGAAACTGACCTTCTAATGTTTTGATCAGACCGTGTTGCCATGGAAACTGACCCTGTAAAGTTTTCAACAGACTGTGTTGCCATGTAAACTGACCGTTTAAAGTTTGGAACAGACCGGATGTGCTGCCATGGAAACTTACCTTTAAAGATTTAAACAGACTGTGTTGCCATGGAAACTGACCTTTTAAAGATTTAAACAGACTGTGTTGCCATGGAAACTGACCTTTTAAAGATTTAACCAGACTGTGTTGCCATGGAAACTGACCTTTTAAAGTTTTGAACAGACCGGATGTGTTGCCATGGAAACTGACCTTTCAAAGACTTCCTGCAGCACAGGACGCCCGTGGTGAGACCGGGCGTGTAGTCGCAGGATGACGTCACGTTGAGAGGAAAGACGTCCACTCGACCATAGGACAGGCAGGAGGAGTGGGCGTAGTTGACCCAACCACAGTCCTTGCCCACACCCGCCATCTTGCTGGCCTTACAGCTGTGTTGAATTATATGTGTGGTTAATATGGTTGTCACAATAGTCGGGTTTCCAACATATTCAGTTCAGTCAAAAATAGATCATAACATGAACATTGGATTTCTAAGAACTAAGTATGTTGTTTTTTATAGGACGGCGTGGTCTTAGAGGTAGAGCTCAAGACTGCTAACCCGAAAGTCTCGAGTTCGTATCCGGGTCCAAGTCAGTAGAAAATCCAGCTCTGATGGGTACCTGACTCAAGTTTGAGAAAGTAAGGTGGGCTGGGCATAGTTCTGACGAGACCACCGCTTCATATGCCAAGGTCAAGAAACATATTAACTCAACTTCATCCGCCCAATGGATCGCTAGGTCTACAGAGGATTCTTTACTTTTTACTTGTTATGTATAGTGAAGTATAGTTTTTTGGTGGTTCAATTAAGTCGTATTACAAAATCAAAATGGCGTCAGTAGTGATTCACGTTTTATTTGTATTTTTCGCCAAATGAATCTGTGTCCTCGCTAATTGTTCAGGCTACAAGTTTTGGAAAAAATATTGTTCATTCCCATTCCGAACTCGAGAATTTATATTTAATCAGCTTGGAGGGGGGGGGGATGTATAGAGAATAAACATCTATATTAACTGTTATATTTGTTATTTGAAAAGATGCCCGTCACATGATCAGGTTGGGACACGTCACCACAGCCTCACCTCTTGCACCTGTTCCGCCTGCTGGCAGCGTTGTAACCATAGCAACCGGGCAGGTCGAAGAGCTCGTACGTGGTCAGCTCCTGCAGACTCCTCTGGTCGCGGGGGCTGCACACCCGCCAGCCCTTGGTGCACAGGGACTTCCCCAGACGCACGTGACCCTCCCACGCGCCCTGACACGCCTGGATGTCGCGGTGCATCTGTAGACCGTCCGTGGTGCCATCGGCGCAGCCTGATGTGTACTCTGGTGGTGGGAGAGAAATGTTGCGGATTTACTACATAGAGTAATTTAGCTGTTGTAGAGAATGCTGCCAATTTACAACATGGTGTAATTTGGTCATTATAGAGAAATTGTGATGATTTAAACTTTGGTGCACGTTATTCATCATAGAAATATGTTTCAGATTTACAATATAGTGTAATTTAGTCGTTATAGAGAAATTGAGAAAAAGTGTGCTTTGTGTTTTAGTCGTTGTAGAAAATTATGCTGATTCACAAAATGGTGTTATTAAGTCTTTATAGAAAATATTGCTAATTTAGAACATGGTGCAAGTTAGTCGTTATAGAAAAATGTTGTAGATTTACAACATGGAGTAATGTGGTCATTCAATCAAGCTGTACATTTGTCGTCAAAAATATAACGTTGTAAGTTAAGACACACGTTGTTTTTATTAATACATCAGAGAAAAAATGTTATAGATTTAAGATAAAGCAATTTTAAGATAATATTAAAACAGTCAAACACTCTCTGTCTATACTAATTTTGAAATTATAGTGATTTTAGTTCTAGCAAACAGGAGACATTACATTAAAGTGAATTAAACAAAGATAATAAAATGTAGTTAACATATACTGTAAAAACAATTAAAATAATGCATGTGTATTTTTTAGTAAATTTTAAATGTATCCTATTATGAAGATTTGTTACTATGCTATTTTACAGGTTACATATGTATTTTGTAAAATTGTATTGTATGTGTTTGTCATTGTAATTCAAATGTTTAGCTTTTAAAATAAACACAGACGGATAAAATATAGTGTAAGAAAAGCAACACGTTTCTAAACCAAACACACAAACAAGTTTTAAAAAAAAAACATGAAAAAAAAAGTTTGTAATCACCAGCAACTTGCACGAAAGAACTGGCTGTGTCTATTCCCTCCTCATTGATCGCCTCACAGGTGTAAAGGCCGGTGTCTGATTTTCTTGCCAGTGTTACCAATAACTCACCTGTGTGACAAAAGAGAACGGGTCGGGTGTGAGTTAACATGCAGGTAACGGTGTAACAAGACACAAGGGATGGTTTCCTCTTTTAACTGTTGCAGACACGGTGCTAGTTGTTATCGGGGGTGAGCAATTTCTGTGTAGTTACGTAATAGGAACAATCCATTGTGGGGAGCGAGACTTGTATGTTGCAGACACAAGTTGTTTGTTGTTTTGGGTTAGCAATTGCTGTGTGGTTATAAATAGGAGCAATCCATTGTGGATTTTTATTTTTTTCATCATCGTCTTCGTTTAGTTTGACGCAGTGTTTATCAAAATATAACATTCCCGGTACATTATCATTTTGAAATACTAAGGTAAACTGTCATTAAAGTATAAATTAAATACATAATTAAATGTATCAATTATGAAGTTATGGGACGGGTTGACCGCTAGAGCGTTCAACAGCACCCGAAGGTTTAGAGTTCGGATCTCGGTCTGGAGTGGGGACTGTAGGACGTCCCAGAGTCCACCCAGCTCTGAGGGTAACTGAATTAAGTTAGGGAAAGTAAAGGCGCTAGTCATAGTGCTGACTAGACCATCCCTTCATATGCCAATGTGAAGAAACATATGAACTCTACTTCATCTGCGCTATGGATCTTTAGCTCTGAAAGAAAACTTTACGTCTGAGGTGTAAAATATTTTTAAATAATGTTTTTACCTTTAACTATGTGCTCAGTACAAAAACTGCTGAGAAAATTCAAATCATTATTAAATTAAATATGTGAAGTTATTCAGTACACGCCTATGCAGCGGGTATGTAACATACGTGACAGCTAATTAACCGCTGATTCTTATGGCTCATAAAGTAAGTTTGGTGTGTTCGAGTTTTTCCAACTACTTTCCCAGTTACCTAGATGTCGATGGTCAATGGTCGTTGACCATAAGTAAAATGTTTCAAAATAAAGTCGTCGTCGTCCCCCCATCCCCATTTTTTTCGGAGCTGGCGACCCACGTATTCGTACTAAAAAGATATGTATACAAATATAACCAAAGTCTTGCCCCCAGTGTGGGGGAGACAGAAACCCACCGGAAGACAATATGGAGATGCGCCCATTCCCCGGAGACAACGTCCGTCCGTCCTTGTACCACTGGACCCGGGGTGGGGGCATGCCCGAAGCCTGGCAGGTCAGGATGATGATCAAGTCCTTGTACACCCTGTGTCGCTCTGGGGGTTTGACCACAATGTTGGGTTTCTTGGCTGGGGAGAGATGGAAGCAATGGCAATGTAAACACAACACAACCACAATGTTGGGCTTCTTGGCTGGGGGAGAGATGGAATACACAGATAGGCTTGACCACAATGTTGGGTTTCTTGGCTGGGATATGGGGAAGTAATGGCAATGTAAACAATACACAGATAGGTTTGACCACAATGTTGGGTTTCTTGGCTGGGGGGGGGGGGGGGGGAGAGAAAAGTTATGCACATTTTAACAAAAAAAAAGAGGATTGACCACAATGTTGGGTTTCTTGGCTGGGGGAGACATTAAAGTAACGGCAATGTAAACAACACAGCCACGATGTTGGGTTTCTCGGCTAAGAGAGAGGGGATTAATGGCAATGTAAACAATACACAGATAGGTTTGACCACAATGTTGGGTTTCTTGGCTGGGGGAGAGATGGAAGTAATGGCAATGTAAACACAACACAACCACATGTTGGGTTTCTTCGATGAGAAAGAGAGAAGTAATGCCAATTTTAATAAAACGAAATTTTAAAAATGTAAACAACACAATAATTGGTGTTTCGGAAAAAACGGTCTACTGCTTTAATAATTTATTATATATTTTTTCATCGAGTTCCCCCTTTTATGGCAGGTGTAGTCTGATTATCTTAACAAAAACGTATAGCTATTCGAATGGCTTAAAAAACAAATGACGTGACAATTTGATTTTATAAGGTGTGATTTCTGTGGTGGAGGCTAGACAGGTGAGATCACACAATTTTTACAGCCAATGTCAACCAGCAAACAACGTATGTTCAGAACGCAGGGTCCTAGAATACATTTGATTTCTAAGCTAGGGTAAGTATGATATTACAACCAGAAATGAATTTATCAGCTTATATCAGCTAACTGAACTATCAGGGTTTCAATGTAATCAAACAGCAAAGTCAGTTTCAATGACTTCTAGAAGAATTATACATTTAAAAAATAACAAAACTATAGGTGTTAAACGGAAATGTGTTTAACAAAAAATTAAGAATTTCAAAATTTACATGAGATATACATTCAATTTTACAAACAATATTGGCGGTAAACAATCAAACACACCCACGACACAACGATAAATAACCTCTATCTCAAAACAGGTAAACCACAAATATTTCATTTTAACAAAGTTAAGCTCTATTATTGAACTGCTATGACCTACCTGGAAGTCGGCAGCAGATGACACCTGTCATGACCCCCGGCTTGAAATGACAGGCCGTGTTGAAGTGGGAGTCGGTGCAGCAGCTGGAATCGATCCTGCCACCCGTGATACAGGAGCTCTGGCCGGCCGTCTGGTGCGGACATTGGTAGCCGATACCGGCCAGGTCGTCCTGGAGGTAGAACATGATATATAGCATGATTTGAACATTGGTAGCCGATACCGGCCAGGTCGTCCTGATGGTTGGAGACGATGTATAACATGCTTTATATAACACGATTTATAACTATCTTTATAACATGCTTTATGCTGGCTGTGTGACTTGTTATATAACACGATTTATAACTATCTTTATAACATGCTTTATGCTGGCTGTGTGACTTTAACGCTTTATAGATATCTTTTTAACATGATTTATGCTGGCTTTGTGACTTGATGTGTAACCTGCTTTATAGCTGGCTTCTGTACCGATAAGATGCTAACTATACAGTTTGCTTTATAACCTAAAGCATGCTAGATATATAGCTAGCTTTATAATCTATAAGATACTAGCTATATAGTTTGCTAATTATATAGCTATGCAGTGGCGTAGCGAGGGGGGGGGGGCGGGGGGCGAGGGTGCGGACCGCACCGGGTGACAAATCGAAAGTTTGAGGGGGGGGGGTGCAAATCGAAAATTGACAGTTTGTCCCCGGTAAGGTTCGCTACCCCTCTGGGGGGTGACTTCACTAAGTGCCGCACCGGGTGACACCCGGCCTCGCTACGCCACTGTAGCTATGCACTGCTTTATAGCTGGCTACAAAATCTGCTTTATAACATTCTTTATAATATAGTGAGGCGTCTTTTGTTATTCAGATATTAAATATATTTCTTTCGGTGAAAATTTAAAAAAAATAATGAAAAACCAACAGTGCCTTCATTTATCAAAAGATTAATAAAAGAAAATTCTTACGTTTAGTATGAATGATATATGAACGAGTTCGATGCTGAATTCAATTTTTTATTTTGTGAAAGAACTAATTGCTGGCTAGTACTCACGTGCTCTAAGTCACCCCGACACTCCCGGCACCGTCCGCCATCTTGTGCGGCATTGTACGCCAGACATCCGGGCACCCTCTGTGCCTCCAGCCACGTGATGTTGCGGAGAATCTGGACGTCGAAGGACGTGCACACCCTCCAGCCCGGGGCGCAGAGCGAATTGGCGTTGGTGATGTGTCCGGCCCAGGCGCCCTCGCAGGCGGCCGTGTTCTCTGACCCGTGGAGACCCTCTCGCGTGCCGTCAGCACAGCCTGAAACTGTGGGGGGGGGGGGGGGGGGTGGGGGAGGGGGGGAGTGACTTGGTTTATTTATAAAGGCAACAAATACGTGCTAGGGTGGCTTAGTTATTTAAGTAATTGAAGAAATTAGGTGGTAATTTAGTGTTGGTTATAAATGCAACAAATATATGCGCGGATGGTTTCGTTATAATATTAATTCACCCTGTTTGAGGGTAATTTAGTCATTGAGGTAATTGAAGAAATTATAGGGTTACTAGTCACTGAGGTAATTGAAGAAATTTTAAGGTAACGTAGTCACTGAGGTAATTGAAGAAATTAGAGGTTAACTTAGTCACTGGGATTAATAAACAATTAGACGGTAATATAGTCACCGAGGTAACTTTACAAAGTAGAGGGTAACTTAGTTACTGTGGTAGCTTAATGATCAAGCTAACTAACCATGTTTGAAAGTAACACGGTATTTCCTTTCGGTTTTACAAATAGAAAAACTCTTTCGATTTCTTTCTTCTTCTTCTTCGTTCTTGATTTTAGTGTTGGAAGGGATCCCCTCCAACACAATTACGTATACGTTTCAACTGGTTATGCGCCATTGAGGCCATTGACTCCTATTTCAGCCTGCTTTTCATTTTGGATTTGCTTCCATCAACAAAGAGATGATCATAAGGATGTTTTAATTGACACAAGTCGTATCACACAACATAGCTACGGGCCTGATTAGGGGATTTAGTACAATGGTTTGGGCGTGTGTTTAGTTTTAAAGTGATATAACATGCTGTATGTTTACGACTATAAAACACACTGTGCTGTGGGAAGTAGCGTAACACACAAAACATGTGTTACTGTACTTGATAATCTAGGTGAGTTGTCACGGTTCACTCCTCGTGTTGTGAGTTGTTGTCAGTGTGTAGTCCAGTGTGTTCTTATTTCCGTACGGTGTGTAACTTGTAAAGATGGATGAAAGCGAAAGTGTGAACGGATCCTCTTCTCTCCCGTGGCGATGTATTTCTGCTACCAGGTAAGTCCAGGTTAATTTATATGTGGGGTAGTGGTAGATGCCGGTGTGTTCAAATGTTTTTATCACTGTGTTGGGCTAGACATGATAGACTTTAATTCTCGTCTAGCTTCTGTGTAGAAAGTTTATTCCATCTATACTTGTTTACTTATAACTAGCATTGGTTTTCTTCAAGTCGAGTGTTTTGTTACCTGTTTACAGTTCACCTGTTCACAGTCTAGCGCCCCCCCCCCCCAAACCCCGAACGAAATGGAATTTATATAGAAAACATATACTTTTACCAGTGTCCACCCCCTCGGAAAAATGTTGTCCCCCCGCCCCCGAAAGTATCAAGTGCCCCCCCTCCCCGGAGAAAGAGTCTGGAAAAACACTGCCTGTTTATGGTTATGTTTATATGTCCTGTGTCACGATTGACTGCCCATAAGCTTTGTATCGGCGACTTCCCAACAGCATTGTACACATTAAACAAAATAGTAACAAGGGAACTAAAATAACCGGGTGGGGGACAGAGGTGTAGCGACCTAATCCGGCGCCCAGGGCGGACTATCAATTCTGCGCCCCCCCCCCCTATTTCTATATATAGTTATTCCTGTCTGAGAAAAAGCCCCCCCCCCCCCTAAGTTGGAAAGGTTTGTAGCGCTTCTTACCATTTACTATCCTGTAACAATTTCTTTTTCGGCTTCACAAACTTGTTAAATCAGTGTGTGAAGCCTTGTAGTCGTTTATTTTTTCGTAGCTTTGACAGTGTATAATTCAATATTTCAGCTTAATATGAACTTTCAAATTAATTTCTCTACCCCTTTTGGCGCCCCATTGAGGTCGGCGCCCTGGGCGGCCACCCCACCCGCCCTCCCTTAGCTACGCCTCTGGTGGGGGATAATTAAATGATTACCTAACGAACTCACCAACAAACGACGCCGCCTGCACTGGGCAGACGACCAGTGCCAGAGCGCAGCAGACGATCTCCAGGGTCCATCCCAGGTAGCCCGTGCCTCGACTATTTGATGACAGCAAGGAGGCGTGGCCTGACGTCATGCCAGCGCGTCCACATTAGCGTCTGTGGAGAAACCAAAGGGGGGGGGGGTAAATTAGTGTCAGGTGGTCACATGTGTTCGGGGCAAAGTAACGATTATGTGATCAGTCTTAATTTATTCGTGTCTATATCTACACATACACCTAGCTATAATCTACATCTATACCTACATATATATCTATAAACTATATCTATACCTATGATCTATATGTATCAATGTATATATATATATATATATATATATATATATATATATATATATATATATATATATATATATATATATATATATATAAAAATGTTAACAGCCAATTATACATATATCAATCTATTATTGTAAGTATATATTCATATAAGCTACTATAACATATATATAAAACTATAAATTAATACATACATACAATATAGTACTTGTTTTAGTAATGAATGCACCTATGTATTTCAAGGGTAGATGAAAACAGGCTACATATATTTATACTGTCGCCACCACACCTATACGCATTAGGCAGACGGAGGGTGGACAGGAATTCTCTGATTCACTTCGCAAGTTTTTGATCTCCCTTCGATTAGAAATTTGCGGGTACTTAACGTCCCACATACAAAACAAAAATATTTGTGTATGTCCGTCCCTTGGCGTAGTTTGATGTTGGGTGGTTGGTGCGGCTCCGACTATTGTTTGATGTCGGGTTATCTTGATGTAGAGTGCGTCCACCCATCCCTTCTCCCAGTGGGGTATCCGGTGACGTTTGAGATTGAAGAAAAATGTGAATGTGACGTAAGCAGTAGTTTTTGTCATCGGTTTAACTAAGACAGTCGGGTGTGACGACCTAAGACAGGTGAGTCTAGGTGAGACAGGTGAGTCTAGGTGAAACAGGTGAGTCTAGGTGAGACAGGTGAGACTAGCTAAGACAGGTGAGACTGTGAGACTAGCGAAGACAGGTGAGACAACAAGATAAGACGACATAAGACAGGCGAGACGACATAAGTCAGATGAGACAACCTAAGAGGTGAAAATGAGACAGCGGAGACTAACTAAAATAATCTAATTCTGACCCGCAAAAACAGACCATGCTAGCCATTTTACCGTAACAATAACACACTATCGACATCTCAAGTAGAAAACCGATGAAATGAAATTCTTCCATATTATTGTTGACACTCTGTTAGAGTTTTAAATAGTTTTCATATTTTAAAATAGATCTACATAATTAAAAAAAAAATCCAGCTTGACCTTAATGAATCAGGTAAATACATCCTATAAAAAATGAGTTCCTGAGGTAAGCTGTTTCAGAAAAAAATGTCGATGAATCACAAGGGACGCAACTGCGTTATGTCAAGTGCCAACGAACTCTCTTTGTACTTACCTCCCCCACGCGACCTCGCCGCTGAAGTTATCGGTTCGAAATTCTTTAATGGGGGATAACTGTGAATAATATGTTTGGTATACATCTGCCTAGGCAATGTGGCGTTTGGGTGAGGGGTGAAAGGGGGAGGATATGAAAAATTCGAGCGGGGGTGTTAAGGTAAAATGTGATGAGAATTTGAGGAGAAATGTGAAACATGGGTGGGTGTGTCATACTATGCAATGTTTTATCACTATCTATAGACTTAAGCCGATACGTCATTTTAAACCTGACAATCTAGCTGGAACTATAACCCTAATTTTGAACCAAACTTCTAATGAAAAGCCTAACAAATCATAACCACTATATTCTTTATAAAATTCTGATATATAATCTTATGTTGTTACTTAGTTGACAAATAATGCGACTTTTAGGACGGCATAGACAGGTAAAATTAGACTTGACATCACTTGTGAATATATCCACCGATCATCCAGTATTTATTAGTTTCTAACACACGGCGGGTGTGTGGGTGTGTGGGGTGTGGGGGTGCGGTCCGCACCTGGTGATACCATTTAGGGGGTGGTGGCACCACGAAGAATTAATCTTAACATGTATAGTCAAATAGGTGTCGGCGTGGTCGAGTCGAAGCTCATGGTTGCTAACCCGATAAGTCTCGAGTTCGAACCCTCGGGTAGATGAGGCTCGATAGCTGGGGACAGCGACTTTTCTAGGAGAGACAACTCCAAAATTAAACAACTGCTGCCTTGTAGTTTGTTCTTGGTTTGACAAAGGCTATGGAAGCAAATCCAAAAAGAAAAGCAGGCTGAAATCATAGTCAATGGCCTCAATGGCGCATAACCATTTGACACATATACTGAATTGTGTTGGCGGGAGTACCTTCTAACACTAAAATTAAGAACGAAGAAGAAAAAGACAGTCAGATACAATGCCTTATCTAATTAATATAAAAAAAATTGTAAGGGGAGAAGAGTGACACCAAAAATCGAAAATACAAAATTGTGGGAGTGGGTGGGGGGGGGGGGGGTTAAACCTCTCGGCACTGGTTGACACCTAACCTATTACAAACCACTGGCTAATACGGTGAACGTATAACACACATCTTTACACAAATACATTGATTACACCTACGTTACAATAAAGTGTATTCTGCGCCCCTATGCATGAACGTGTTTAAATTTCACTTACCCTTAAGAACGTTAACTCTTCGCAGTTCTTTCCCCTTCTCCTAATCTCTATCCACCCCGAGTATCAAAGCAAATGGAGGTGGGCTTACAATGGAGTTACCGAACTTTGCAGTTCATTTTCCTTAAGCTTTTCTAACCGACCTTTTAAAACGAGTGAATATTATGACGTAAAATAAGTAAAAAATGTAAATTTCCATAAACTTTTTCATGTAAAGCGTGTTGAGCTTTGTAATGTCTCGCCAACCGTACCTGATTTCTCGCGTGAAGAAATCTTTTCAACGTGGTGTACAATGAATATAAACGATCCGGTTTATAAATTTAAAATATTCTAATGTGTTTTTGTAGAAAAAAAACTGCTGTTTTTTTTTAAATCTGAGAGAGCTTTTATTTCTTCTTATGCCTATTCTTTGATTTACTGCATGCTTTAAAAATAAAAAAATCAAAGCATAAGATTATGAACATAATATTGCATGTGTTTTTGGAGGGGGGGGGGGGTGATGACGGCAAATTAAAGCGAAATTGATAGGTCGGCAAAGTTTGAAAAAATTATATAAGTTGTTTTCCCTATTAGACCACATTTAACAACCGTACAAAAAAACGACACATTACAATTAATAAAACTGAAATTTTAAATTAACAACCCCCACCCCCCACCATTACGGCGTTGTTTGATTTGTTAAACGCATATTTTGAGAGCCGCTTTCTACACACAAAAAAACTACACATTGCAATCGATAAAAGTGAAATTTTAAATTACCCCCCCCCCCCCTACCCCAACGCTACGGTGCTTTATGACTTGTTATAAAGCCTAGTTTGAGAGCCGCTGTATAGCGGAATGGGGGTTGAGGGGGGGGGGGGTGTTAAGATAAGATACGGATACCCGATATCGTCCGTCTAATCTACGTCAAAGAAAATCTCACACCCACGCCAGGTTGTGGGTTAATAAACAAACAAGAAATCTGGTCACATTTTGACAGGTTTATGACGCCAAATTACTCAAAATCTAGATTATGAAAACATCATTTTTTTTTATTTTGATTAATTTTCAAGATATGAATTACATTTTTAAAAAAGTTTTTTTTTTTTAAATATTAATTTTCAAATAAATTAAAACGACAACAGTACATAACACCCAAACACACAGAGACAGCAAGAAAACGATCAGTGTTTCTTCCAGACTTTTTTCTCCGGGGGGGGGGGGGGGGGGGGGGGCACTTGAAATTTTCGGGGGGGGGGGCGGTAGACTTTCTTCGGGGGGGGGGGGCGGACACTGTTAAAAGTATATATTTTGTATATAAATTTTATAAATTTCATTTCGTTCGGGGGGGGGGGGGGCGGTACAAATTTTTCGGGGCAGATGAAGCAGAGTTCATATGTTTCGTGACCTCGATATATGAAAGGATAATGTGATCAGCACTATGCCTAGTCGTCTTTACTCTCCCCAACTTAAGTCAGGCAACTATCAGAGCTAGGTGGACTCAAGGGCGTACTTGCCAATAAAATAAGATCTCTCACAGCCAAACGTTGTTTTAATTAGAAGATACATAGTATTAGCTTGGACGAATCATATAACGAGATTTTTTTTCTATCAATTGAAGCTCAATAAGCCAATGAGAGTGTCAATCAATGTAATGCAAAAACAAAACTTGAAATAATGAAGCAATTAGCGGTTATGGAGACACCATAAAGCAGCGTTGTGTTTACGTTATCTTCAGTTGTTTAGGGGCAGTATATAGGACTTCGCCCCCCCCCCCCCCCCCCCCCGAAGAGATGCCTGGAAGAAACTCTGAAAACGATGACATAAATACAACATAACCACTTGTCTGCCATTAACAAGATCCCAAAATGGGGCTGTCAGTGACGTATCAGTGGCCCACATCTGTATGGCGGTATCCCGCAGTAAATGTGTTTGCGAGATAGCATCTTCACGCAGTCAAATTGCTTATTGCCAGCTACGTGTTTTATGACTTTCGTCGTCTTTCAATTGGTGCTGCAAAAAAAGTAGTTCGTTCCCAGCATTCTCGCGCAGTAGTTTTTAAACCAGTATTTTTTTACGTTTTTAAAATCTACTTTAGATTTGTATTTTCTTAAGAGTAATAATGATTTCGATATGGTCATATCAAATATGTAAGATATTTGCGAAATTGACTGATAAAGTAACTTGACAACGAATGTAAATAAATTGTTAAATTGGCTTTCGTCGAGCTAATAACGAGAAGTATTGTGTGTTGATGGTTTTTAAGTATATAATCAAAACAACATTATAATCTACGCCTACTTCATAATAATAAAACTAGGTTATTTTGAAAGTGATTTCCGTAAAATGAAGAGGCTATTTAATGCCAGAAATATATTTCACATTTGTCAGCAGTCGTTAACTTTGTCTGCCATGCACACCTTGATATGAGTAGTTTATTTGCATGTGCTACAATACTAAAATAACGTAAACCCCTTGCATAAAATAGAAAATACT